GGTTTTTTTGGAATTTTTTTTTGCTTTAGAAATCTAACTTCAAATTTGTTAATCTCATGCCAAAATAACCCTAACTGCCAAGTTTCTGAATTTTCGGCCATTTTGGAAATTCGTTGTTTTTTTAGAAAATCTAACTTCAAATTCATTTTTCTCCTATCAGTATACCCGTAGATACCGATTTTCGCGCAAATCCATATTGACAAACAATCGGTGTCAATTTTCGGCCATCTTGAAGTTTAACCGAACGCCATTTTGAAACGGTTTGAGATATTGACTTCTGGTTCACCCGAAAAGTCTCCTTTTTTGATGCGCTTTCGAACAAGGTACAACAAAAGGGGTCTTCTCAATTGATAAAATAATTGGTTTCCATCCCCCCTCCCCCCTAAGGATTCCCCGGAAAATTCTAGGGGGCCGGAAAGTAGCTCCCTTTGACCTAAGGACAACCCCTAAAGTTTCAAATCTTTGCCTCAATTAGGTAGAAATTTAGAGGGGATGGTAAGGATTTATGGATCACCCTGTATATCGCACGAATTTCGCCATATATATTGTGAAGTCGATTTCTTATATATTGACACATTTCTTATATATTGCACGATTTTCGCCATATATTTTGGAGTTTATTTACTAAATATTGACACATTTCAGTATTGCGACAGTTTCGTATATATATTTCAAAATTTCAAATATATTTTGAATATTTCATATGTTACATCATTTCTTATGTATTGCCAACATTCCGTATCTTTAGTTACAAACGGCCTTTCATACACTATGTTCCACAGATTGGATTTAACGTCAACTTTATTCGCAAATGCAATGCACCAGATAAAATATTAACGTCCTGACCGAGAAACTTGACTTTAAACGTCAGTTCTGACGCTTTCAAGACATATTCCCCCCACCCCCCCCCCNCTTCTGACGATTGAGAACAAGTATAAACTTTTTTTTTTAAAAAAAAAAAATGTCTTCCGGTCGTGATTAGGGGATTCCCATGTGTTTTCAGGCGCTGAATCCGAATATGGCCTCAGTTTATGTCCATCACCCTTCAATTTTCCGCAAAATGGGCATTGTTGGTGTTCGTGCGACTGTTGACCCCCGTAGCATATACTTGGAAGGAGAAATGGTATCAAAATGACTCAATAGGTGGTGGGAGGGGAAAAGTGCAGTTTTAAGGGAGTGAGATGGGGCTGAAATATCGCGTATTGATGTGAATCAATTAATAACATCAGTAAGGCCTTGTCTCCACGAGCCGTTTCACGAGATTTGTCCCAGGGAAAAATCCCACTTACGAAGTTGGGAAAAATATTGAGTTAATCAATATTTTTCCCAGTACCAAGTTTGGTACTTGTACCCCTAGGACCCACTAAGAGAAGAAGAAGAAGTGAAAAAGAATTGTGCGATATTTTATTCATTACTACATTGTTAATGTTTGTTGTAGTTAAAATAATGTGTCTAATTGTCAATTGAGTGCAATTATTATATTTTAATCCCGGTTAAATACTCGACTTTAACCAATTTATCTTCCCGCGAAAACTAGTCGCAGGACTGTATGAGCCCCGTCCCGTGGAGACGGTAACTGGGAAAAATCCCAGAAGTTTCATTCCTGCGATTCGAACTTGGGACAAATCCCATGAAACCGTCCCGTGGAGACAAGGCCTAAGGTCAAAATTGGGATTTTCGATAAACATACCATACCATCAAGTATCACAAATTTAACGTGCATTTTCATCCGGAACCAGTGAAATCTCTCTTTGAATAACTTCTTTCACTAAAAAGACTAAAAGTTTGAAAATACCCTTCCCCCAGTGCTAGCTCTAGCGGTCGTAATCCGGGGATGGGGGGGGGGGATTTAACGTATCCTAGCTCCCTTCCCCTCCTCAGGGAGCCTCCCTAGAAAATTGTTGAAATATATGTAGATCCTCGCGAACCTCAATTTAGTCTATTTTTAGAATGAAATCTGATGGAACGTCTTGAAAGACAATGGTTTTATTTCATTCTCTCTTTCTTATGATCATTTGCCCCTTATTTGAGATATATCCAGTCGTTACTCCACAGCGTTTAGAATTTGTTGAGTTATTTAAATTTCTCGAAAAAACATCTCTCTGCGTTTAAAACATACAGCAATCGCAACCGCGACGGAAAGAGGGAACAGGACAGCGCATCGGAGGCAAAAGCAGCGAAGCGCTCGGACTCGGAACCTATACGTATACCGCTCTCCCCGCCCGCCTGATTCCGCCGCCGAGCAGTCTGGCAACCGATTCTCTAGAGCATGTAGGCCCGTGCCGTGTGTTCATGCCGCGCAGCGCGCTGCGCCACCTCCGTCCCCTCTGCCGATTTCCTATACTTTTGTGGCTGCTATATTGCTGTATACGTATTTCTGTCTCTCTCTCTTTCTATTCTTAATGCAATTTACCCACTAATACATTTGATCTATAATATTTGCTAAAATTTAAAACATACGTAATAGGTGTAATTTTCCTCTTTCCTCTAAGATATTTGGGCAAGCAGTGCTTTTTGCCTTGCTTACCCGGACCGCACTCCACTGACACCCCCCCCCCCCCCATAATGTGTCATCATCGTTTGTGTCATCATATACTTTAGCATAAGTTTGGTCATGAATTCATTTTTCAATCAAAATACCATTACTTAGTTTGCGAAGTTTCGACACGAATGTCTACCTACTAGGACGAATACAATCTACGGTGAGTACCTTTTCTTTTTACCGCCGAGATCATGTATTTGTGTCAACAAATCAACAAAAGTAAGGTCAAAAATGAAATCTACGATCAAAAGTCCCTTCAGATACCGAGTTTCAACACGAAATGCCCACAAGAACGAGTAAAATTTATCTTTAAGTAACTTATAAATTTTTATGTTTCTCCGGAAAGTTTGGAAGAACGCGTGAAATTGTGCATTTGCGTCAGTTAATTGAAAAAATTAATGTCAGAAATGAATTCTACGATCAAAATAACCCATGAATACTTTGGTTTAGCACGAAATCCCCGGGAACGGATGGAATAGCGCAACAAGTAAGGCGATGACCGGGGGCATTCTTATACGCTTCGCTCCTGATGAGCCGAGCCGGTGCGAGAACAGAGTCAAAGTGGCTTAAGCTACGGTTCCGCAGACTTTCGTCGACGCATTTCGCGTGAAGCCAGCTCGTCGCGCCGACACTACTCCACAGGAATCTTTATCCGCGTGGTTTCTCAAAAGTTCGTCGCAGCGCGACGAACTGGCGCCGCCCGCGCCGCGGTCGCAACGGAATGGCGCGACGAGTTTTCGTCGACACATCTAGAAAAGATGTGTCGACGAACTTGGCGCTGCGAGCGTCCGCGCCATTTCCCCTGCCACAGTGCCGCAAGTTGCACGTGTTCTCGCATATCATCAAAAAGAAAGAAGAAGAATGGCGCAGACAAAGGACGAATTCACCCCAGAAGAGGACGAGGTTTTAGTAGACGAAATTTCTTGTCATCTTTTCTGAGGTGATGTTGGATTAAATTCCGAAAAGCTCCCTCGTAACTTCGCTTCACAACTAGGGGATGCGTGGACGCCCGGTCTTTATGTGCCAAAAGGAGTGTCATAAGTAACAACTTTCTGCGTTTTAATGATCTTTCTTGAATTATTAACAGTTTTTTTAATTTGCTAGGATTTCTATTCATTTTAATATCTTTTACAAACACGCACAACCACTTCCAACCACAGTTTGCAATGATACTATTCACGAAAAGGCGCGACGAACCAAGATTTTCAGCGGAACCACGCTGACGCCGAAATGCACTTTTCGTCAGCGGATTTGCCAAATCCGCCGACGCCCAGCGCGCCGCGTCGGTCCGCCGACGAAAGTCTGCGGAACCGTAGCTTTGAGAGGCGGATTTCTTGCCAACTTTTGTGAATGATCGAATATCGCCATGTCCCCGTTAGAAGCTATGGTAAAGAATCGATAGTGCGATATTCGAACAATCGCATTCGATACGATATTCGATATTCGTCCAGCTGAAGTGGGGGATTCAACATGGCGGCCATAGATCGAATCGAATTCTCTTATCCCAGGTGACGTAAAGCATCTAGCATGTGTATCTAGTGACGTATTTAAAAGGGGTCTTTGCTTTTAATGACTACCACCAGGGACGAGTTCTATAGGACGCCGTTCTGTTGTGAGCGGGTGATTGCAGCGCATTCTCGCGTAGGATCCTAGTCAACTCAGAGGATCCTTCCCCCCGAACCTCGACTCATCCATCGCCCGCTCCAAAAGTGAGGTTAAGCCGGAGATTGAAAAATAACACATAAGGCGGCTGAATTCTTGAAAAATAAGTATATTTTTGGCGTTTTTCGACCCCTTTCGACAAGGAAGGGCCTGCCGCATGTATATTATGGAGAAAAATTCGATTTTTTGCAGTTATACGCGATCCTACGGATTTTAATGAAGTCCAACAACTGATAACAGCAGTGAGTTGCGAGGATCCTACGCGAGAATGCAGCACTAGTACCTGCTCACGAATTTTTACATTGACTCTTACGGGAGTCCAGGGTCCTATAGAACTGGTCCCTGCTACCACCCTCATTTCTTCAGAACTTTGACAATTTGTCTGTCATAAAATTGTGCAAGTGAGCGGGGATTTTCGCTGCTGTTATCACGCGGTTGTCAACCGCCGAGTGATTTTTCCAAACTTTTCCGCCAGCTCGCACCCTGCAGTTTGGAAATCAGCTACTCACAGTAAATTTGTAATTAAATCCAGGTGAGTTCACTGCATAATCCGATTCCTCTGCTCACCTCGCACTTTCTCCTCCGTTGCTTACAGAGCTGCCCTACATTTTGACGTTTTATCAGTGCAAGGTCACCGTGTCTTATCAACTCTACCTACACCGAAAACGATTGAAATTCCATGAGCTGAAGCCCGCTAACGCTGCACTTTTCCGGATCCTCGTTGAGCCGCAGATGTAGATATGATATGATGATGAAGGGTCTTCACACTTTCGCCTGACTCATTCACTTCCTGTTGTTATCCAGACACGCCAAGCGTAAGATGCCCAACGTGAAATCCCGCCAAGAATTCAGTAGTCCAGCCCACTCGTGCATTTTACTTCCTTTCCTCGCAATTCCGTAGCCCTCGTCTGTGCCACTTAAATCTTTACTCTTTTCCTCCGTATTGTTCGTTTTCTCGCGCGCCCCTTTACCCACGAATTTCAGGTAATAGGGCATATTTATCGATGAAAGTAAACATCCTTTCCTGGGAGGTACCTGATTTTAAGTGAAGGTCCCTTGGGTTGATTTCTTGGCAGTCTGTCTCAATGTTGATTCCATTCATTCTGCAGTGAAGGTCAGCTACCTTGTATGTACTAAGTAATTACCTATTTGTGAGCATAGATTCATTTCCTGGGATTTCATATTGTATTGAGCTGGTAAGTGTTTTGGTCTTGGTGAAACATCTCCTTGGAATAGGTGTAAATCCATAGTGCCACTGCTACTATTAATCCATATTTTTACGTGGACCACCGCAGTGTTTAGTATATCAGTTGGCGCTGCTCCAAAATTTCAGTCTTCTATTTTTAATGCTAGAACCAAAGAACTAGGACGTAAAGTATTCTCATTGAGCCAATTACTTTTCAGTGTCATCCACTGACTGCAGTGGAAGGGCTCTACCTGCTCCGTTTTGAGGTGTGTTACAGGATGTCTGATTTAAATTAGTGTGTTTATTTCTTTTTCTTCTGTTAAGTACTCAGATGTGATATGCTAGCCGGCACTTTAATATAGGCGCTATCTTTAGCAAAGTTGGTGTATTCTTTGATTGAATCCAGAGTTTCGACAGTGCCTCATACCTTCATGCAACATCTGCTGTAGAAATTTCAAGTTTTGACGCACTCTTTCATATTATTTTGCATCTGAACTGTGCATCACTAATGTAGTTACTTGTAGGAAATTCTCTTCTTTCAGCGTAATTTATGAATATTATGTAGTGTCTGTCATATGTATGTATGCGGGCCTTAATGTATGTGAGAAGTGCCTTGTTTTATAAGGATATCTCCTTAGTATTTTGGCTTATTTTGCCTCCTCTAATTATTTAGAAGATTAACACACACATACTCATTACTAAACATCAAAATTCTAGGTTATGAATCATGATTGTGTGCCATTTCACCCAATCCTGTTCACCCACGGGAATTTTCACCCAAAATCCTTTTGCCCAAGGAATTTTAGCCCTGGTTATTTCACCCATGAGATGTCTTAATGGCCAATGGAATTCTCCTCCACCTTTATTCTTCGCCTTGTTGCCGAACAAAACTGCACAATCCTACCGAGCAGTTTTTGCATCAATCTCGTCAAAATGTGTGGAGCTAGGAATTCAAGCTCCACATTCGCATTCCATACTTTGTGACTTTGAAATGGGCATAATACCTGTAAGCGCTTCCAAGCAAGTTTTTCCAGGGTCGCGTATTGTGCTCTATTTTTTCCATTTGGCCCAAAGTGTTTGGAGGCATGTGTAAACGCTTGGTTTGCAAGTGGAATACAATAAACCTAGTAACAGAGAGGTACAAATTGGGTTTTCCCAATTGTTAGCCCTAGCATTCGTCCCGGCAGATGACGTGGTGCGCGTGTTCTAACTGCTGAAGCCGACACTACCAGATAGCATGGAAACCTTAGTGAAGTATTTTGATAGGACATATGTGAGCGGATCATGGAAGCTTTTTCGGCGACGGGTGAGACTGATGCCTCCCATGTACCCTCCAGAGCTATGGAATCATTACCGGTCAGTAAATGAAGATGGTCCGCGGACCAGCAATGCCACCGAGGGGTGGCACAGTCGGTTCTAAACCCTCGTGGGAAAGAATCATCCCTCCATATACTATTTGCTCCGCCAGCTGACAAAAGAACAGACCGATATAGATAAGCAAATTGTAGAGATTGACGCTGGAAGAAAAGTGAGAAAAGCAAGGGCGCAAAAGTATGAAAAGTTAAGACTACAAGGAAGCAGGCACAGAATTAGAATATCTCCAATACTGGTCCAAACCTACGCTTGCTGCGAATTAATTGGCCGAAGGCCAATTTTTTTTCCTCTAATTTTCTATCTAAATTATTGGGTGAAATTGTCGGGTGAATTTTCTTTGGATGAATTTTTGGTGGTTTTTAGGGTGAAAAAAAGTAGGGACATATGACTCTGAACATTTTGGCTATTGGGGTCAAAAGTTTGGGCGAAAAGGCCTCCTACCAATGGGAATTAGCGAGAATCTTTAAAAATCACTGTACACCTAAACCCCTCCTTACATGATAGCTTTTTATTTTAGATGAACAACACCAAATTGTTGAGATTTGTCACTTGATTTACTCCATGTGTTTTATTTTCAGATACAGGCAAAATGTTGCGAGCGAGGTGCATTGTGAATAACCTGGCACCCTACATTCCTAGTGGTGCCAGTCGAGAAAGATTCGCATCATGGCTGTTGAGCACGGATACGTTCTCACGATCTGTCTCTTCCACCAACAGAACAGACTATTCCGCCCAAGCAGAGCCCTTCCTCAATGGATCCAGCTCGTCATATGTAGAAGAAATGTACAATGCTTGGCTCGCAGATCCATCAAGTGTTCACAAGGTACGGTAACTCAATGAATCTTGTTTCTTTCACTGTTCGCAACTCTCAGGCCCCAAATGCGCCTAAGAAATCGGTCATAGCGCCTAAAAAAGGAAGGCTCTGTGCCAAGGTGGCCCCTAAAAATCCCCCCCCCTCCAAAAAATCCTACTTTTTCTGTTTGGAGATTATTCAAAATTTCAACGTAGGGCTCCGGACTTGTAACTTGTCACTAAATGTGCCGTGATGTTTAGGCATAAAGTCAATTTGGCCCCTAAAAATCGAGCTTCATGGGCCACATGGCTCCTGAAACTCTAAGGTGAGTTCCAAACACTGGTTCCCTTTACAGTAATACATCATTACCAAGTTACTTACTGATTTAAGAGGAAAAACCCGGGGGCAGGCCACACAAAGCATGAATAGGCAGCCTCAATGTTATTAGGTTGTGCCATTAAATGTGAGTATTTTACATGGTTTAAGGGGTTTTTGGGAAGTAAGTCCCTCTTTTCACCATGTCAAATATATTGATGCCAAATTATTCTTTTCTCACGTTCCACAGGATGGATTTTCAGAAACCTTTTTTAGGCCTGCATTTAGTAGAGAAGAACTAAAGGATATGAACTTAGAAGGGGGATTGATAGGAATAGACAAGCAATCGAAAATTTAAGGAAAAACTGAAGCTTTCTGTTCTGATGCCGATACCTGTTGTGGGAATTGCAAATTACAGAACTTTACACGGTTCATAAAAATCTATCCAGCATTATATTGTATATCTCGCAGAGAGCCAGATTTGAAATTACATTGAAGTGCTAGCAAGGGAGAAAATAGAAAAGTGTCATAGATGAGGTGAAGTGAATAAAGTATTCCTCAATTCCTCTTGTATCAGAGACAATAGTCTTGAGTACCGCACTGTGTAAATTATACCTCTTTAATTATGACTCTTGGTGTTCGTAGTCATGGGACTCTTTCTTCCGAAGCAGCACCTCCGGAGCCAAACCTGGCCAGGCCTATCAACCCCCTCCTACCCTATCCGAACCTGGTCACAATCAAGTGTTACTCAGCAGTATCTTACCCCAAGTTGGCAGCGCCCCAGCCCTCGGAGGTCAGGTCAACGAAAAGATCATAGACGACCACTTAGCCGTTCAAGCCATCATCCGATCTTACCAGGTCAGTTATTCAGTGAAAAAAAGATTAAAATTGAATGATTAGATCGATACTTGTAGTTGTAAGTACGTTCATTTGATTAGCTGTTCACTCCTGTTAAATGTACTTTCTACGCTTCCGTGTGTGAACTGCAATCGAAGTCTCGTCTCCGCTTATTAAGCAGTAGGGTAGCGTGCAGTTAGTTTTGACTGTCGTGTGAGTCCAGAGCTAAATCAAACCGTCGATAATTGTTGCGTCCTTTTCTATTTACGATTTGCTTTTTTTTGTCGTAATGCTGGTGAGCAGCAATCTTCCACTTCCTGTTTAGCCCTTCTAATGAGATTAAATATTGAGCCTTGTCTTCATTAATATTTTCGAGCAATTATCTGAGAATGCAATGATTCATTTATTACCCTGGCTCTCGCAAATTTAATTTTTGCAACCATCGGATCCAGCGGCAGGTCACTGGAGTCTTTAATGTTTTTATTTATAAATTTACTACTTCATATTTCATTAACTCACTACTTTACTCTAACTTTCATCTTTTAACTTTATCATTTTTTTTGATAATCCATTATTTCTCTCAGAATACTGAAATACACGACTTGTCAGGGCAATAAATTCTGCAAAAAACATAGTGAAGGCAAGGCATCTGAGATACTGGATGAGATAATAATCATGCTGACTTCTTCATTACAAAATCAGTGTTACTGTACAATCTAACTTCCATTTACAATATAGTGAGTAAACTGTAATGTACGCTCTCAATGTATGTACAAATGACCATTTTTTGAGATCTTCCTCAAAAGAGCCATCTGGCCAAAATTTTAGCGCTCATGTAACCAACTATAATCAAGTCCAAAGAATGGGTCTTTGAAAGAAAAAATGACGTTACTCCATCAAAGTAACCTCGAAATTTTAATCTAGCTGCAATCTTTGGCATATATTCTCTTCAGTAAACCATTGCATCATTTCACTGTGAATGTATTGAAATTTGCAACAAAATCATGAAGCAGCCTTGTATATTCTTGTAAAAGTAAGATTTTATCGGAAATTCTAAGAAAGAATTGTGATGTATTTACACTAAAATTGTCTCGAAGCATCTCATATCTCTTTCCAGTTGATCGCTTTCTCAGCCAGGGTTCCCAACAGTGTGGAATACCTGGAAAGTCAGGGAATTCACAGTAACCTGGAAGAGTCAGGGAAATTTTTCTCAAAGTTAACAGCTTATTTAGCTGCTGATAGGCAACCAGTAGAAAGTTGTTGCTATCAAGGCATTTACGTAGCTATCTCCCTAGGTACATTCTATCTCAAATCCATAACTCAACCCTCTCATCAGTCCTGCTACTTTTTAATTTTCTAAAAAGCTGCCCATTTGATGTTTCTATTACATAATCTACTGAACATAACTTAGCCTACAATAATCCAGCCTAAGTTCTATAATTTTTACTTGCAGGAAAAGGAAATTTTGATCTGGGGGGGTTACTCCGTCTTGTTAAAGGAAAATGCCATATTAACAATTGAATGTTGCCAGATTTTCCCCTCTAAAACATTAATTTTCGAGAAAAGTCATGAATATTTGTTCTTGAAATTATCAGAGACACTAGATCAAATTGAGAGTAAAATTCCTCTTAAAATTTGCATGAAAAAAAGTTACAAGTCTTCATGAAAATTAGTACTCTACCAAAAGTTTTGCAATGTGCAAAAGTTCGTATGAGGTTTTTTTCTAGATTGGCAGTCCTCTATATGTACACCACTGAGTCATCCGAACTAAAATCCTGTAAGCCAGTTTGTTGTACATCGCGGTACAGTGGCATGAAGACATATGCATATGTAAACACATATTCAGTGTATACAACGCTAAATTAAACTGGACCAAAAATTAGAAGCCATAGATACATACATAGGTACATATTCATATATATGCACCTTTCATTATTACAGTGGAACATTGAAGGAGGGTAGAAATGTCTACCTGGAACATGGATAAATATATAGGTCAAGGGGCATCCAATAACTGTTGCTTATTTTCTCATGTAATTTAAGACAGTTATTGAGTTTATTTGCACCAAGCCTGCAATCACATCAAGTGAAACATTTCTTCATCTTAAAGTTGTTCACTTCATTTACTTTTAAAATGAGGAAAAAATGAAGGAGCTCTATTACAGTAACTGTTGGACACTTCCCAGTATGCTGCAAACGTGGTGCATGAACTTTTTTCTGATGAATCCTTGAATAGCTTCTATGTTTTTAAACCAGTTTTTTAGAATATTCAAAAATTCCCAAAGGGTTTTTTTGTAAGAGGTAAAATTTTCCATGATGAAAACAAACTATTTTCAGATTCAGTTGAAAAAAGCCAATGCTCTTTATCCACGGTACACTGAAAATTTTGGTTTGTTTCTATTCAAGTGTAACTTGACTGTTGGAAAGTGTTCAGCTCTGGTTCTATGATATAGAGTTTACGCTGTCAATTTTCTCTTTATTCTGTATTCAAGAATAAAACAAAATTATGAGCTTAGAATGCTCAACTCTAAAATGATATTGCAAAAATTAAGGATAGCTGATAAGACATTTCAAATATTCCACTAAAGAACACTTGCAAATTTTCCTCTATCCTGGGTTTCTTTTCATCGTTGAATGCTGGAGTTCCAAACTCATTTTTAGTTCCTGTCTCAGTCATTTATGCGTAGGTTTTGTTTTATTTTGTGGAATGACTTGATCTTTTCTCTCATGATGATAGTAACCTGCTCGGTTACCATTACATCACCTTTGTTTTTGGATAGAATGTGTGTAGTTAGTGTCTCTCAATGTTATCAAGTACTGTTTAGAATTGAATGTGCATAGGCTCGTGGTCATTTGGTGGCTGAGTTAGACCCACTGGGCATTAATTATGCTGATCTTCACAGCAAGTACAAGGACAGGAAAGGAGCTCCGCATGAAATTGTCGTTCGTAATCACTTGCTGGGTAAGACATCGATCTCTCTGCATATCCCTCCTAATTTTATTCATTATTTTTGTTACTTTTTCTCAATTCATCCTCCGTATAGTCATACTTACTTTTCCATGTTAAATATCGTTGAAAAAATATATTTTTGAAACCATGAAGTTCCTTTATTTGGGATTTAACATGAAAAAGACTCATGTTTTAGAGGGAGTGTCAAGCCTTTAATCAAACTGGAAAAAACTTAATCTGAGAATGTCTCCTTCATATCGATCGCAACTCCGCACAATAGCACCTTGTGTCATTGGCTCTTATCAAATGGTTTCCTCTGTTATCTACCATGAAAAAGCTGCAGTTGCTCCTAAAATTTTTGTGGTATCAAGTCATTATATCCTGCAGACGAATCAAAATTAATCATTCAATGATACAAATGGATGCAAAAATTTTCATCCATTTGGTTCTACATCTTGGTCCCTAAAAGGCTTCATGGACCTTCATCCTTTTTTTTCGGTTGTCATCTGTCTAATTTTATTTTTTCTGTTACACAATGACTTTAAAGCGTGTGTAACTGAGCTGAACAAGTTTTTGAGCAATTTTACCCTCTGATTTGGTCTCCTTTTTTTTCTACCTTGGTTGTCCTTTTTTAAATGTTTGTCTCTCGCCATCTATTTTCCACAACGGCACTTTGAAGGCAGGTAAGTTCTACTACAGCACTAACCAGCCACTACAATGTTGAAAAGTCGTTTGAATGTATAAATGCTCGTTCTCTCTGTTCTTCGCTCCTTCGCTGTTTGTCGCCAAGCTTGATGTGTTTCCTGTTTTTCTTTTCATTTTATTCAGCCTTCAGTAAACTCATCATGATTTCCTTTTTTCATTTATTTGCGATATGTAGTTATTTATTGTGCGTGCAAGTTTCTTTGTTCTTGTGGTTTTAATTATTTAAAAAGGGATTGAACAACTACAAATAAACTGACTTTCATTTAAATTTCAAAAGATACCTGACTTGTTAGCTATGCCACACTTTATAATTTGTGAAAAGTCCTGTAATTCTCTTCTAAAATCTCTTGATGGTATGACATCAATTGTATCAAGTAATTATCCTTTTCCATGTCTCATCAGTGAAAGAAATCAAGAAATTTTCTTGGTATTTTCATTTTTTTTCTATTTTTCTGGAATTCTTTGTTTGTGTATTTCTTTTTAGCTCATCATGAAAAAAGAAAGATATCTGTCAAGCATGTTTGTTGTGTGACCGTTATGCACCTCAGTATGCAGTTTAGCACCTGTCGATGTGTTTGTGGAGGTTTTAAAGTTTCCGTTTTTCTTGCCTTTCTGTCAAAATATGTGTGGAAATGTTGCTAATTGGTTCAATCTGATTCAACCATAAAAAATGTTCATCAAAGCCTACATGTGTCGATCCAACCAGCCAGAGCTGTGAAGTTCTTATGTTCTAAACTTAATTTGTAAATATTTCATTGAAAAACTCTATTAAGCTTAGCTTAAATCATGATTTCTATATTTTATGCTTTTCAATCGATTTTAAAGTCAAGACAGTGTCTCATCAGTGTCTGACAAGTGAATTATGACAAATTTGTCGAACAAATTGGTTCATGAGTTATGGTCTCATAACTTTAACAATGTCTCAGAATCATTTTTTGTAGTTACAATTGAAGCAGTTGTGTGCTTTCTCACTTCGGTTCACAAATGAGCAAAAACTTCATTTGGAAAGTTTCAGCCTCCGGTGGCTGACACTTCGTTCTGTTTGTATGCTGCCGTTTCGTAATGATTGTTTCCAAAAAGCTCTCACGTTCCGAAACTGTGAAGTATATTATATATCACACCTGCCCCTGAAATTTAAAGCAACTCATAATTCTTTTTAAAAATTTGTTCCTACCAGTTCTCAACTCTTGCAGAAAATTATCAACCCTTATCTCTTCATCATTTTTGGTCAAATTTCCCATTTATGGTGATGCATCTCGCTAATCTTCACCTTCCTTTCAACCATTTCTCGAAATGAGCGCACAGCACCTTAGCTTTAATTGTTGAATTGTAACATTTTTGTAACATGAGCCAATTTAACAATCGTAATAACTTTTCGAAACTTTAAATCAGTCAGCAATATTCTTCCCTTGTTGATAACTTTGAAAAAATCCACAGTGTAACTGTGATGACCGTTACAATGAAAAGGATTACAAGAAAGTATGTCCGACATCATAGAACTATTGATTGGGAGTATCAGAAAGCAAATACTTTCGCAGAATGTTCAAACAGAACAGATGTCTTAAAACTATAGGAATGGAAATTTATAATCGCTCTCCAATCCGGTGCTACCAACATCTTTTGCACTTTTTTTTAATACATACAATGTGTCCCAGGCTTACATGCCTACCTTGCAGGAGCGATTTTTATGGGTCAAAGCTATACGTTTTTCCTCCATGAAGTTTTTTCCATTAGTTCCTCCAGTTAGGGCTGTTCTATCGGTTGTCGGTAAGCTACCGAAACAGTTCCGTTAAGAAAAACTTACGATAAGAGCGCTCTTGCCGATAGCGATCAGAGTTTTCGGAGGTGGCGAAAATAAGATGTTGCCATTTGTACATCTATTTTACGTGCCGCCGCGCCAGACAATCTGATAAACTGACACACGGGGTAACAATGCATTGAGTGCGAGCTCTCAAAACTCCTATAAGGCCGGCTGTTGTCGATATCATCGCCACTGTCAGTACTGCCGCCAGTTTCAATAAGAGACAATGTCGATAGTGTTCCGGCAAGAATTCGTTTGAACACCCCTACCTCCAGTACGAGCTATGTTTCCCTAAATCCAATTTTTTTACCCTTAAAATTTCAAGCCCCCCTTAATCTGAGCTTTTCAGAGTTTTAAGGCCATAAATCTCACTAATTATTGGAGGTATTCGTTTTTTCTGACTTATTGTCCCTAATACTTGCCAAAACGAAGAAAAAAGGGTGATTTTCTCGAAAATGTGGATAATTGGAGGCACATTTGGAAAAAACTGTAAACGTAAATCCACTCAGCTCAATTTTGGTTTGAAAACGTTCCAATGCTTCATTGATTCATTAGAATGCTTTTCAGTTTGCCATTAATAGACTTACTGATAGCTATCCTGATCTGAAATTTTGATACTTGTTCGATATCAATCCTGTTTTTTGCTGGTGAAGTATTGAGTGTGTCATTGTGTATTATGTATCAGTAGATTCGAGGGCATCATATTGCCAAATTGGACCCGTTGGGAATCAATTCAGCTGATTTGGACGATAGACACCCTCCAGAATTGCTTTATAGTCATTACTCCTTTGGTAAGTTCCTATTAGCTCTTCCTTCAAATTCATTTCAATTTTCATCCCTTTACTACCTCTATGTTATTCTGAGAGTATTCAGTTTTTTTTTGTCCTGGCTGATTTTTTTTTTTTTAATTTGCTCTAATTAATACAGTAGGCTTTTTTTTTTGTCCCGAGTGTGAATTGTCTTAAATCTACTTTGTTTTAAAATTGTTTTCACCAATTTTGAGTAATTCCCCTCCATTCTGAAGTTAGAGTATTGTACCATGAGATTGAACTTTTCAAAAGCACCTTAATTTGTGCATTATATCAGCAGGCCAGTTTTTGGTCTTGTCAGTTCATTTTCTCTCCATTTCTAGTTAAAGCTTAGAATATAAAGTGTAGATGAATTCTGTGTAGGAAAAGTTGTGGGACTAGTGCACTCAAAAAATTTAATGAAATTAATTAATAATTTAAAAACAATTAAATTAGATGTTAAGTTTCACGATGGTTTGAATGATTCTTTTTCAAGGTCATATGTTGGACGGAATATCCTTATGTTTTTCATAGCAATTAACTTTTTATCATTTTTCTTTCTTTATGTCCAAGACGAAACTGATAAAACTGTGGATAGTTCATGCCTTAGAAAAAATTGTAAATGCCTGAAATTGCATTATCGAGGAAACTACTCATTAAAAATCTATCCGTGATAATTTTAAGAGCTCCTTCATAAATCATTAATCACATGAGTTTGTCGGTCATTTATCCCATTAAACTTCAGTTGATTATTATGCCAGTCCTCATCTTGTACAGCATCGTTAGCTCGAAGGAAGAAAAAAAAATTAGACATATTTAAGGCAGTTTGAAAAAAATTGAAAAGTTTGGAACCTAAAAAAGTATCATTCTATCTATTGTATTGAAGCTCAATCGAAGACTCTAAATCAATTAAAAGAATGTCTAAAGAGTAATGCCTAGAATCTTAAAGTGAATTATGTGTGACCGAACAACTTACTAAAAGAATGGAATGTGGTAATAGAAGATGAAGTTTGTAGTCATACTAAGAGAATCATACACCTTTCGCCATCATCCACTATGCTCAAGTTACTGATAACATATTCCCATTTTTTTTTTTTTTTTTTTGCTTTTTTATGGTAATGACATTTGCTTCAATAAGAGGCTCTTCTAAAGTGTGTGGCTAACTATAGTATGTCTAATATGAATCTTGATTGAATACTTCCGCCTTTTGTATCCCTGAATGATTTAATATTAATCTTTGAAAAATTACAGAAGTTTACTCACAATAGTGAAGTAAATCTATTTTTAAGAGGAAAAAGAAGAAATGATTATGCGCCTTCGTTAACGAAAATTCGTTAGTCCTCTAACTTTAACGTAGAAAAAGTATGAAAATCCTGTGTGCCACATTTCCTCATCAATTCATCCTTACATTTGCTGCTGTGTTTAAATTCAACACATTTAATCCATCCAATTAACTCTTATAAAAAGACTGATCAACTATAAACTTTTTATGCATTTTAATATCTGCTTCAAACTGTATTATCAAATATTTAGTTAAACTCGAATGGGCAAAAGGAAGAGAGAGAAAAGAAATCATTCTTTTAAAGAGGTTGTTTTGAAGTACAGTACTGTGTTTGTAGTTTTAGATAAAATTTTGTGTGGTGCCTCTTTTAGTTCATTATGTTTGTAACCGTAGTAGTTAGCATAGCTTGCTCTGGTATCAAATTTAACAACCATCATTGGTGCGAGATCCATTTCAAGTGTCTCAGTAGCTTGTTTCGTTTGCTACAATCATGTCAAGTCCTGTCTATATTTTTATTTTAGCTGTTTTTCTTTTTCAAGTATTCATGCTCCAGTTTGAGTCTGATTTGAGTTTTAAATTGTTTTTTTAAGCATCAACATTCTTAGCTGTTTTCCATACATTTTTTCCTCTCTAAAAATTTCTATTATGTTTTCCCTCCCCAGCCGTTTCCAAAGTTTTTGTTGCTTCTTGATTGGCTTAATTTTTTAGGACAGAAATCTTCAGGAACTTACTCTGAGCATCTTCAAAGGAAAGTGGCCAGCATGATGAAGCGTATGTAACACAGCCCCCTCTTTCTGCATGTTTTTACTCCTTTATTTGGTATTCCTGATTTTGTTTCCTTAGTATACTTTTGATGTAACTTTCATGATGACCATGCCCTAAGAAAATATCTAGACGCATTTTTCAATTCATTTCCATCACATTTAATCCATTGTTTTTTGAATGGGACAATTTGCGTGCTCAAATTAGACAATTTGATATGGATGGAAGTCTTATTTTTTCTCTATTTATATTTTTTTTTTAAATGGCCAAAAATAAGGAGAAAAATATACAGGTGCGCTGGAATCAAAAATGATTTTTCTCAAAAAATGTGTGCGGAAAATCTTATGAAATCAAGATTTTCGCCCTTGGCCCTTGGATGTGTGCAAGGATACGTTGTGCACGGTGACCAGCCGCTCTGTCATTTTCGCCAAAGATCTCCTGAACTTCGTTCCTCCCCGAAAAAAAAAAAAAAAAATTCACAAGCTACCAAAAAATGTCTCTTTGTATCTGATTTTAATGGAAAGAATGAGCTCAAATGATACTTTTTCCTCTCAGGAAACGATACCAGTTTTTTGTTGAAAATTAAGAGGAATGACTTTTTTGGCTTGTGAAGTTCACTGTTCAGGTCTCTTTTTTTCTTCATCAGAATCTTAATCAGAAATTGTATCCAAATTCATACGAACATTTTTGCTTTTCTGTACCTAGGGTGATCCAAAAGTCCCACCTGTGTATCCCCTAAGGTTTGCGCCCCTTTTCAGGGCGGTCCCTTTAAAATTTTGGGGGTTTCCTGAAGTCATTCCCTTTGATGTAGGAGGACTCACAGAATTTCAAGTCTCTGTCTCAATTTGTTCAAAAATTACAGGGGTGAAGCAGCGATGCCTGGCGCTGATGATGTGGAACTTTTTAATTACCCTGTATTTAGTTATTTCTGATTCTTGAAGAGCTTTATTATCTTAATTGTCTCCATTTGAAGATTAGTGGAATATTTTAGAGAACTGGGTACATACTTTCAACGCCCCGCCCCCCTCTTCCCCTGAGTTGAGACTCCTGCTAACTTAAAGGAAATCTTTAAATTTAAGTTTGCTAATTTTGTAATTAACTGAAGTAAATTTTCCTCTATTCATTTCAGATAAAGAAGTAAAACAGTCAAAATATGACTTTTACAAAATTTTAAATTTTGATTAGACTGCTGATTTTTTGCATGCACACCCAGAATGATGTTACACGGCCTTGAGATTTTCGTGAACTTTTCCTCTCTCTTTTTTGCCACCGTAGCTGCATTGAACTTGGCAAATTGGCTTCGTACCAAGTTGTGCTTTTCTTTCAGTACGGCAATATCCCTTGCCAATGTCTAAAAATAGTTGCCTTTTTATCCTCTAGTATATGATGTAACCAGCTGTAATTTTACGTTTGAAAAACGTGTCCAAGCAATCATGCGATTGTTAATCTAGGATGACAGAGGATGAGTTGAAACTTCATGCAGGATCCTTGCGCCACCCCTGTAACTTTTGAACAAATTGAGATAGAGACTAAAAATGTTGAGAGTATCCTTAGGTTCAAGGGAACTACTTTTTGGACCCCTATTAATTTCAGGGGGGGGATCATAGACCCTAACTCCCCCGAGTCCCTAGTCGATACTAATATGGTATGCCAGCAGGATGTATTGGCTCCCTTTGCAGCAGACTCTCTTGTCTATTCCTCCCAAAGTATGCAAGGATCACTTCTTCTCTTCTTTTGTTCTTGCAATTTTTTGTCCCCCACAATTTTTTCAGTACCTTGATTATTTCTCAAAATTTAAGCTCTGCGGAGTTTTTACATCCACGGCCCTGTAGTTGGAGTAGGCTTTGCGCTCATGTATTATCTTCAGAAATTAAACCAACCTTACCTGCTTTAACACCTGAGCAAATGCAGGTTGTATTATAGGTAATGTTCATTAAATTCCAAAACAAATATTTTGAAAGAATTTTAACTCTTCCGGACAAATGATTCTCATCAATATCACAGAAGATAATTTTGGGCTTCACAGCCCTGCATATATATATCAGCATTTGTAATTTTCCTTGCACTCTTCTCTTCTGTTTTACACTATTTTCCTATTATTCACTATACCCTTCTGATCTCTTCAAATACCTAGTTTTACGTAAGTATCTGTTTCATCTCTCGATTCTTTTGCTTTCCTTGCTCAAAAACTATGTTCAGCATTAACTACGTAAAATCTATGACCTTTATTGAAATTTTGATCACATTATCATTATCATTTCATAAACACATTTTTAATAATTATCTAAACAAAGAAAATAATTTTCAGCAACATCAGTGTTGCAATACATGATCTCGTCTCCTTAATTTCCGAACTCCATACAGGCATTTTTATAGATTTAAGCTGTGAAAATTCTTCCTTTTTGTAAGTCTGAAATATCTGTCTAAAAGTTTTTTGTACTTAACTTTAACGTCTGCCAATTAGTGAACAATTGAATCAGTCATTTCAAAATGAAAGTCTTAAGCACCCGAAATTAATGTACATAAAGAACGGGAATAGCTGTAATAATTGACCCATTTTAAATCTTAGATTCAGTATTTTTATAATAATTCCTTAATCACTTTAATATTATAATGCTGCAAGATTCAAAACGGGTCTTTTAAAAAGATTTTCAGTGTTTTTCTTTTATTCTTATCTCTGGCTCTTAAAGCTTTTTGAGAATGATGGATTCCATTTTTAGATACAATTTATTCCTCAACATCACTTACAATTTATTCAGAATCAGGATAGGAAAGTGCTGTTTCCATGCCTTTAATTTGAGTCCACGAAAAGCCAGTCTGGTGAAAGATTGTCATCCCTTTGCTCTTCACAAACTAATTTTACAGAGGAAGCTGACATGGACCGAGTTTTCAAGCTCCCATCCACAACTTTCATCGGGGGTAAAGAACAGGCCTTGTCTCTGCGGGAAATTTTGAAACGATTGGAATCCGCGTACTGTCGCCACATTGGAGCAGAGTTCATGTTCATCAACTCTCTCGAGCAATGTAACTGGATCAGGCAAAAATTAGAAACTCCAGGCATCATGGAGATGGACAACAACCAGAAACGACTTGTCCTCGCTCGATTGACTCGTGCAACAGGGTAAATGCATCTTATTTCTCCTTGTTTAATTCTCTCCTAGTAAGTTTATTTTTTATTTTTACTCATGATCCAATCATATTTTGGCTCCGAATAGCACTAAATGTAAAGTAAAATCGTTTAGCTTCCCTAAGATGTACCAATTTTCTCTTTAAAAGGAATGCTTGAGGAGGAATACATCAATGGCCAAACTGCAGAACTACGAATCTATTATGCGGTGTTTCAAAATTTCTGCTCCTGTTCTATTTTTTCGAAAAGAAACAAGTCAGCTTTACAGCTTGGAATGTTTATAGAGTTTTCTGCTATGAGGGAAGAAAAATGCAGGAAATTTTCCAGAAATTACATTTACTACAGGGTGTCTAGCATCAGGATCTCACCGATTTTCCCGATTCTATCACGATTTGAGGTCAATCAGGATTTAATCTCGATTTCATCAGGATTTGAGGAAAAATCGGTCGTGAAATCAGGATTTGAGAAAAGTTGGCTGTCCGATCACATTTTCCTATCGAGCTATTTTTGTGGTATTACTTTTTCTCCGCAAAAAATCAGGATTTGGAAAAATCGTGAAAGCAGGATGTAGCAGTAAAAAGTCAGGAAAAATCATGATTTCCCTAAATGAAAAAAAACTAGACACCCTGTACTAGTTTTCCTAAGAATCTGCAAAGTATGATGGGAAGCCTGCAACGTCGCAAATAGAGGTACATGATTTTGCCCTCCGGCCATCAGCATGAGTCCTTTGGTGCTCATTGGTTTCATCAATCAAGAGTTTCACGATGCACTGCAATTATTTTTTCATTCTTGATTCATTTGTATTTTTCTGCAGATTTGAAGCTTTCCTGGCTCGTAAATGGTCCAGTGAAAAACGTTTTGGACTTGAAGGTTGTGAAATTTTAATTCCTGCCATGAAACAAGTTATCGACAGGTCTACTGAAATGGGTGTTGAATCCATTGTCATGGGAATGCCTCACAGAGGAAGATTGAACGTTTTATCCAATGTTTGCCGAAAACCCTTGGAGCAAATTTTCACCCAATTTGCTGCCTTGGAAGCAGCTGATGATGTAAGAATTGTTTGAATGATCTTTTAAAATTATTAGAAAGGAACTAGTGAAATTAATTCCAGCACTATTGCTTAAGGTGATTCGATGGACACTATATTTTGTGTCAGAGTGGGTATGGGTATGTGTCAGCTTACCAATTTTGACCAACAAATTTAACTTAATAAAGGCGTGGTCTTTCTAGAGGAAAAATATGGCATTCGATACTGATATCAAAACTGCACTCGAATGTGATATTTCCTCTCCAAAAAAACTATGCCTATATTACGTTGAATTTGTTTGTCAAAATGGGTAAGCAATTTCGTCAGTCTCCTGGCAATAGAACATGAATAGGTCATAGGTATAGACTTGTGTGGCACAGCATGCCTCTGTTGCCCTTAAAATTAACAGCTTATAAATTCAAAATATGTTCGTTCATTACCACTATTTCTCCATCTGTATCATCTTCTTTTATTTTATTTGAGATAGGACGCCTGTAACACATCTGTGCAACACACAATTCTGTGAGAAAGCCTACCAGACCATTTGTTTCAATTTGTTGTTTGATATCCGGCCTGTGTCTTATGAAAAGGATTTATTTTTCTAATGTTTTTATTTTCAGGGTTCTGGTGATGTGAAGTATCACTTAGGTACTTACATTGAGCGTCTGAACCGAGTTACCAACAAGAATATTCGTCTTGCCGTAGTAGCTAATCCATCCCATTTGGAAGCTGTGGACCCAGTAGTCCAAGGCAAAACTCGTGCAGAACAATTCTACCGAGGAGATGGAGAAGGCAAGAAAGTCATGTCTATCTTGCTGCACGGTGATGCTGCGTTCTGTGGTCAAGGAGTCGTTTTCGAGACCTTCCATTTGTCCGATCTACCTGACTACACAACTCACGGTAATAACCTCTCATCTTTAATATCATTGTCTACGAAAAGCTCAGCTTACCTTTACTGCGCAGCACTCAGTGAAGCCATTCTTCGGATGTCACTTTATCTAGACCAAGGTTAACTTCTGTAAGGAAATGTAAGAATCACAGTGAGGAAAAGCATGCACTTAGCAAGCACGTACGTAACAAAGTCAAAGTGTCATTGCAAGTATCTTTAGTCGATCACGTTTTACTTTCAAAATTTTCGAGGAAACTTGATTAGGAATGATGGGAGATTAGTTTTCATGACTATTGTAACCATCTGAATTTTTTTGATATCTGAGTGTACTGCCTGCTGCATCAAACGGCAGAATTAAGGTACCACAAATGATTTATTCTGTTGAAGGACAGAGAAAATCGGGAAATTTTAGGGAATTGCAAAAATTCAGAAAAACCAGTATCTCAGGGTATATGACAGAAGTGTCAGGGAAAGTTTGTCAAATTACTGTGATTGCTATTACTTATATAAATACTGTATGAATTACTTCTAAGCATGTGTCTGTCGTTTCAACCAACAAATGCAAATGGAAACTATCTCAAAATATGTATTTTTCATAATTTTGCCCTTTCTCAAATGTTAGGAAGTTTTACCAAAACTTGTCCGGGAAATTAGGGAACCCTCAGGAAATTTTAGCTTCTACATTCTGTCTTACCTCTGAATCCTGCTGCAACCGCCAAATTTTAATTTTAAAAGTTACTCTTGTCTTTAAATTTTTGATGAGTAGCATTCATCGTTCACACACCTAACAATGTCAAGATCAATTTGATTCAAGATATTTGTGTTGTTGTTTGCCCTTTTACAGGAACAATCCACATTGTCGTCAACAACCAAATTGGTTTCACGACTGACCCAAGGCATTCTCGTTCATCCCCTTACTGTACTGATGTTGCTCGAGTCGTGAATGCGCCCATCTTCCACGTCAATGCTGACGATCCCGAAGCTGTCATGCACGTTTGTAACGTTGCCGCTGAATGGCGAAACACATTCCACAAAGATGTCGTCATTGACTTGGTAATTTGAAATAACACTCTATACACAAGCATACTCTTATCAAATCTTTCTAATAATGAGTAAAAAACAATGTCTTCTAAATTGCATAATCAATGTACTTTATTAAGATGAGGCTCAATGATTTCAAATCATGATGAGCTAGCACTCTTTTGGTGTTGAATCATTGTGTTATCGTACATTTTTAAATTACTTTACTCTTTGGTAGCTAATTTTTTATGAGAGTATGACAATACTTTGTTCAGGATTACCCGCGGTCTGGAAAACTGAGAAAGTAAGGGAATTTGTGGCGACCAGGAAAAGTCAGGGAATTTGCGGCAACCGGGAAAAGTCAGGGAATTTAAGGAGGTGCGTTTAGCAGTGGTGAGTGTAATTTAAAGGGGGAAAAAATCAAAGTGGAAGTTTGATTAGAATGTCAGGGAATCCAAAAATTTTGGAGTCGGAAAATTTGATGATGAAGAAATTATGGCAACCCTGTTTGTTCTAAAAGGTGAAAATCCTTCAGATTCAGCACATTGAGAAATGAGTAACTAGAAACAATGACAAAATAAAAATAGTGAGCAAGTATAAAATTATTTTTAAATTCATGAAACCCAAGTGCTTTGAAAATTTCACATCCAAGTACACAAAAAGAAGAGATAAAAAGGACTTTTTTTTTTTGAGTTTATCTAAACATGTCCGTCTAATCCCTCTAAAATAATCTTGTTATTAGTTATTCCAATCCTTTTTTCTGGATTCAAAGGAAAGGGAAATTTTATCTATTGTGGTATTCCTGGAAACTGTCAATTCTCAGTGCGTTTAATGAAGATCTCAAAAGCCGTTCATAAAATTTGTAACGTCAGATTTGGGATTTTTTTACCGCTGTCCCCTCATAACATTTTTGTGGGGTAGAATCCCATCTTTCAATGTGAGACAACAAAATACTCTCTATGACCTCTCTCCTCCCTCTAGAGCATCATGCATTTGTTGAACCTAAGCCATATTTTAACATTTTTAGGGTAATCTACACTAAGCATTTTTGCAGTTTTGTTTTTATGACCCGTGCAAGGTCTCTTTGAAAGTGTTACTTCCAAAAATTCATTGTTTGTGTGACCCCTTATCAATACATATTGAAGGCTTGAATAATTGAAAGTGTAAACAATATTTAAGCCAACAAATTTTCTTTAATTGTAGGTCAGTTACCGGCGCAATGGCCACAATGAAATTGATGAGCCCATGTTCACTCAACCTCTGATGTACCGAATCATCAAGCAAACCAAGCCAGCTCTAGACAAATACGCTGAGAAGTTGGTGTCTGAAGGGGTTGTCACTGAACAGGAAGTAAAAGATGTCAAAGACAAATACGATCAGATTTGTGAGGAAGCCTACGCAAATGCTGGCAAAGAAACCCACATCAAGTACAAGGACTGGCTCGACTCTCCGTGGTCAGGTTTCTTTGAAGGCAAAGACCCTCTGAAGGTTGGTAACACTGGAATCAAAGAAGACACGCTGGTCCACATCGGCAAACGTTTCTCATCGCCTCCTCCGAACGCTGCAGAATTCGTCATTCATAAGGGTATGTAAACAAAAAAACTACCTTCTTTTCGCCATTATTTAAAGTTTTGTCTCTATGAATTACAATTAGAACTTGTCAGGAAGTGGAAAATCAGGAGACTTGTCTGAATAACTAGGAATTTTTCTCTCCTCACTCCTAGACCATTTTGCTTCTAACCAAAGGCTTCTGGCGGCCTTTATTTGACTAGGCGCTACTGAATTAGTCAAATTATGGAGAATTATCCATAAATCTGCTCTAAAATCAGGCTTAAAAGCTAAAGCTTCCAAAAGAATTTGGAATGAAGAGACAGGGAACGGTGAAGTTTCAGCAAGGAATTAGCCCTCTGTACACAAGTAAATACCAGGAAATGAAAATAGCTAGGAATTTTAGACACTTTGCATCATGAATTTTGTGTGTCAAGAAGAATGGTTTTGGTCCTACATCATTGCGAGAAAATCTTCTCATAAATTGTCAGCTTTTGTTTTGTTGAAAAGAACTGATAGCATTAACCTCTGCTGAATTCGTTTGATTTGCTTGCGACAATATCATTAACTTTTAAAGCTGATAGGAGAAACTGAAGACAAAAATCTTACAATTAATTGAAGAACAATTGGAGAAACTGAAGATAAAAATATTACAATGAATTGAAGAACACATTTCCCAGTCTCTTCTTTGTCTCTAGTCTATCACTAGACTTGGAAGAAAAGAGAAGGGGTTGTTGTCCTAATTATAATGTTCTGAAATTCACAACTTAATTTTAGCCTCTCCTGCGACAAACCTCATATCATTATTATATTTTCCTCTTTTTTTAGGTATTGAACGTATATTGAAGGCTCGCATGCAGATGGTTGAATCTCGTCAAGTGGATTGGGCGCTCGGAGAAGCCATGGCTTTTGGCTCCCTTTTAAAAGAGGGAATTCATGTTCGTTTGAGTGGACAGGATGTTGAACGTGGTACCTTCAGTCACAGGCATCATGTTCTTCACCATCAAACTGTCGACAAAGCTACTTACCGTCCATTGGCCAACTTGTATCCTGATCAAGCTCCTTACTCTGTTTGCAACAGCTCTCTTTCTGAATTTGGTGTTTTAGGTACGTTTTTTAACGCATAGATTTTCTTATATGTACAAGTGAGAGTGTGGATGAAGTGTAAAAGAAGAATGAAAAAAACAAAGTAATTAAACTAGTGAACGTATCAACTTAACTTCTCAAAAAAAGACAGAGAATTCCATAGTTCCTGTTCTTTTAGATAATTAGTATTATCTAACGTAACTTTTTTGCTTAATACCCCAGTAAATTTAATTTAATTCATGTAGCGAGATACAAAACATATATTTGTAGCTCTTGTAGGAGTTAGGATATTAAGGTATGAAATTTGTTTAAATTAATAAATAAAAGAATGATTTTCCTTTATAATTTTTACGTACTTTTGAACTTGTAAGCAGCCGCAATTTTTTCTAGTATTTACTTGCACACTCTACACGCCATAGTTGAAAATTGTTTAAAATTGTAACGCTGCAATTTAAAAAAGGTGACGAGTTTTTGAACAATGGAGAAAACCTTGAAAAATCGGTTAACTGTGCTGCTTCTTTTTCCAGGATTTGAACTTGGTTTCTCGATGACCAACCCCAATGCTTTGGTCTGCTGGGAGGCTCAATTCGGTGACTTCAACAACACCGCCCAATGTATCATCGATCAGTTCATCAGCTCTGGTCAAGCTAAGTGGGTTAGACAATCTGGATTAGTCATGTTGCAACCCCATGGACTTGAAGGAATGGTGAGACATTTTTCATTTATTATTTCATCTTAACGTTAAAAAGATATTGCGTCCAGCAAAGAATTAAGACCCTTCTATTATTTCTTTGTGTTCTTAAGGCTATTATTGAAGATCAAGAAACTAGAGCGTAAGATTATTATTATTCAATTCATTTCAGTATTAAATAAAATAATCTCCATAATGATCTTTATCAGATCTCAGTTTTATGTTTCACATACCCTGAGAATAGTTTTTTTTTTTAGGGTCCTGAGCATTCATCGGCGCGTCTAGAACGATTTTTACAAATGTCTGCTGATGATCCCGACTACTTCCCTCCTGAAAGTGAAGAGTTTGCTGTCCGCCAACTCCATGACATTAATTGGATTGTAAGTAATCTGTATAAGATCTAAGTATTATGAATAGTGGATTATACAAGTGTAGTTGAATGAAGTTTGGTGCTCGGCATTAACAATGTTAAAATCGACTCAACAGTTTTGAAAAAGGAATGTGATAACTGGGAGTTTAGAATCATACGACACCTTACATGCTTTTCATTTAATTGTGTACGTATTACAGTGCATTGTTGATGGGTTTTTCTCTTGCCATGAATTCATGGTTATTTACTTGAATTCGGTGATATTTGAGGCCCGTGATGTACTGACATAATGAGGAGGATCCTAGTTCTGGCATCTGTCATGACTGTTTAATCTTGTTATTCATGTCTAAGTTACCTTTTAATGAAAAGAGCCTGCTCAAACTTTTTTTTTGCTGATAGCTTATATCCTGCCATTTGCAATGAATTCCTGGAAATTTGGTGCCTCCAAAATCTTTCAACAACCTCATTTGAATAGGCTCCTAACATTCTCTATAGCCAAGTTATCCTATCCTCTTTTCTCTCAATACTTTTGATATCAATTCAAAAGCTCTCATACCATAATCTAATTTGAAACATCAGCAGTTCAAAAAATCTGTGTGTGGTGTAATAATTGCAGGTAGCCAACTGCTCGACCCCAGCTAACTATTTCCACATCTTGCGGCGGCAAATCGCCCTCCCCTTCCGCAAGCCCCTCATCTTAATGACCCCGAAATCACTCTTGAGGCATCCAGAAGCTCGATCCAGCTTCGATGAGATGACTGAAAACACTCAATTCAAGAGGTAAAGTTCTCCCAATTTTCTTAATCTATAGTGTCTTTTCTCGAGTGCCGACCGACCGGCCGCTCAGTGGGCCTTTCAAGTAGCGCTACAGGAAAAAAGTGAATTTTTGGAAGTAACTGTAATTTTTGAACTCAGTGACCCTCAAGAATACCTAAACATGTATTTTGCACGGTTTGGACATAAAGTCTGATTCATTAACACCCAAATACGGCTTTGGAACCATATTTCGGCGCGCAATGAGCGGAAACTTCAATCGCCCATAACTCCGGAACCGTTTGGCTCCCCAGCTTATATGACCACTCGTTGGATGAGGCAAAAGACGAACAATTTAAAAAACTGGTTTTGGTTCAAATACAAAAATGTGATCTTTCAGTTTAGTGTGTTTAAAAGAAATTGTTTTTCCTCAAAAACTGAAAAAAAGCATACAAGTTAACTTTAAAATAACATTTTAGGATTTTGACCTTTAGAATCATAAAGTATGCAATTTTAGACGATTTTTCGTCCAAACCGGGCTTCAATATCTTTTTTCGTTTGAAAGATATCGAGGTTCACAGGTTTTGACTTCCACCCCCCCCCCCCCNACAAAAATTTTTTTGGGGGTCTGAAAATTGGGGAAAGAAGCGCTCCAGTGTGAGTAACCGATAAACGAAGTTTGAATAAGTTTTAGTGGGGGGGGGGCGAAAAAAGTTGTTTTTGCATACGGCTCTTTATGTAGATAAATCTCTAATGCACATATATGCATCTAAATGTTTAATGCAACAAAGCAAATCATCTGTTCCGTTTGTAAGTCTGCATTGCAGAGAAATGCTTCCGTAATGTATGAATGAGAGTGTGAATTAGATGCAAAAGGACAAATGTCAAGAAAACATAATTTCTCTCGCAATCTTCAATACTTAATTCCATAAGACAAACAACAGAGGATCGCGAAATTCTTGTTCTTACAGATAAATTGTATTATCTAACATTACCTTGTTTCTTAATACCTTTTTACTCTTACATTTTATTCATGTAGATAGATACGAGGCACATAGCTCTTGTTGTAGTTACACTATTTTTGAATAACATTTGTTAAAACAAGAAAAAAAAAAACACAAATCCTAATTTTGATGTGCGCAACATAAGCTTTTTCCATTTTGTGAGAACGTATGATCTATGTTCTGATTCTAAATCAATTTTAGTCCTATTCAATGTGGATGACCTAATGACCTCCTATTTCAGGTGATTGACCTGGTAATGTATTCCCTATGGAAGTATAGGCATATTAAAGCTACCATAATCCATGTTTTCCTAACTTTGTCTTTTCTGTTCAGAGTCATCCCCGAAGCAGGAGTGGCAGCTGAAAAGCCGAACAAAGTCAAGAAGCTTGTATTCTGCTCTGGTAAAGTTTTCTACGACTTGAGAAAGGCTCGTGATGATGCTGGTCTATCCGGCGACATCGCCATCTCCCGTGTTGAACAGGTTTGTTCCTCACAGTTGTGTTCTATTTTTGTGTATGAAGCATAAATCAAGGCAAATTTTAAGGAGAATGTAGAAAGTAACAGAAAAGTGGCCGCCTGCTGCTTTCAAGTGTTTTGATTCCTAACTGAATTTGCGATTCCTGAATGAAAAGAATTCATCATCTTTTGACATTTCCTCACATTCTTCGCTTTGCCACATATCTATCACAAATTAGATGCAGCTAATTCTACACAAGTGATGTTAATTTATTTGTTTCTAATATTACTGTATCCTAATAGTATTTTATGAGGCAAACTGGAAATTTTTTTTATTTTCACCCAATCAGTAGCATTAGACGAGCCTTCCAGTGAGGACTACAAATGTTCAAACTTTCTAAAAAGGACATTTAAAAAATGCAAAAGTATAAATACTTGGAACTAAATCAAAGATTTCTACTCTGCCTGAAGTGATCGGTTGGATCTACTTTGCTTTTGACACTGCCTATAGCACTATTGCCACTATCAAAACAATCCCTCTAGGTGATGCGTTTTTGCCATAGCAAAATTTCAGAACTAACTGTATTATGTATTGTAATGTTGCAGTATTAGAGGATAATTTTTAATTGCCTTCAGTTTTTAAAAAAACTTTTGGAAAGTTGAAATTTTTCTCTTTCCTTTCTCACCCTTATATTTGTCGGTGAGCAGCTCTCATACACAGGTTTAACCAGCCATAGACTAACACCCTCTACCGGTATTTTAAATTCCTTTATCTTTATTTGTTACCACATAACTGATTTTGTTTCAACAGATTTCACCATTCCCCTATGATTTAATCAAAGCTGAATGCCAAAAATATCCTGAAGCCTCCCTTCACTGGGCCCAAGAAGAACATAAGAACCAAGGTGCATGGACTTACGTTCAGCCCCGATTCCATACCACCCTCAATGGCGCTAGACATGTTGCGTAAGTATCAGATTTGTTTCTTCCTTATAAACTATTTCCTGTTCCCTCCTTGCTGAGTCATTTTTACAACAGCATTATACTCACATTTGAAAGATCCACCCCTTGTTTCACTAATTCACTCTTTTCAGACATGATTAACTATCCGACTTAATTCTCTTGACTTACTAATTCTTCTCCTAAAAGTAGCACTCCTCACTTTTTTTGCGTCTAAGTATGAAATCATCAATAGTCAAATTGTGGCTTTTCCATTATTGGCCTAAACTTTTGAGTATCTTTTCTCTACTTCCTAACAGCTTTTCAAAATTCTCTAAATTTTTGGCTTAAATATTTTTTGAACAAAATTTCTGTTTCTCGGTCTCGGCTTAGGCCTCCAAGCTCAAAGGAAAGTAGCGGATGGTTACGATTCTGGTCAAAAGATAGTAAAGAGGAAGTTAGCCCACCTATTCCAGCTAGTCCTGAACCTAGAACAGTCGGGTAATTCAATAACATACAAATTTTTTGTAGAAATTTTCTTTGAGCTTTCACAGAAAAAAAATACATAAAAATGAATAATAAATATTGAATATTCACAGGAAAAAATGTTTCAAAACCATTCAAGGAACATCCGTGAACTACAAAATAAGTCATGATCATTCATCATAACACCTTATGATTTTAAATTTTTGGATGAGTTGAATTATTAGAACAGTAAGATAAAAAATTTACCCCAAAAAATGATTGGAAATAACTCATGTGACCTTTTCTGAATATCACTATCCCTCAGTTTATTCCTCATTCAAAGTTTGATATAAATTGTTAATAAACTCTGTTTTTTTTAGAATTCTCATTCCACAATCTCTAAAATGAGTAGCGTTTCTTTCGCACACTTTTCCTGATCCTTATGACTTTGGCCAGAGGCACCCCCTCTCCTCTCCTCTTCTCTCCTCTCAGGCATGATGCCTTTATTGAATATTAAATCATTTTGCAGGAATTGCAAGTCGACCAATATTTGTGTCACACAGATCAAATTTCAGATTTTGGAAACTTCCGAATGAAGTATTTAGCCACGTGTTCGTCAATCCAAGTTAAATCAGATTTTAATGTAGCCTGATTTGATCATTGATTTTGTGAACAGGACTTGAACTGAAATTCAACAATTGAAAAGTTTGACTACATTTTGAGTGAGACTGATGTAAAGTTGAAGAACAGTGTAAGGCCTTTTGGTCCTAAAAGTCTTCAAAGGAGACCCATGATTGAGCTGTGATCACATGTAATACCTTGTGATGACCTCTTAATACCTTGTGACGACCCCTACATGGAGAACTTGTTGGTTCTCAGTTTTCTCGGCAATGTCTTTTGATTTGTGTAAGCATCTAACCCTCTCAATCGTCAAGGAGTAACTCAGGCATTGTAGCCATTGCGAGACTGTGCCAATCCCATTAAACCCTACAGTTAACATCCGCATTTAGAGTTGAGCGCTCCCATGCTGATAGACTTATCTTATTTAAATTTATCTGTTACAAAACCCTGAAAATTAGCAAAGGGACCAGATCGAACGCCAAGAAGAAGCGTCGCATTTGCAGTCTTGTTTTCATTATCTTGATCAGGAACGTCACAGTCAAGGAATACCAGAAAATTTTTGTCGGGGAAAGTGACAAACATGCCATTGTCAAGCACTTTATATGCTTCTTAGAATGGATTTGACATCTTGAATCACAAAGTTTACTTGAAAACTATTTCAATTTATGCTTTCTAACCACCTGGCATATCTTCGATTGTCAGGGAATTTTACCAAAACAAGTCAGGGAAATACAACTCTCAATTTTGTGGCAGCCTTGGAAAACTTTGATTGGCAGGAGGCTTAGGAGCTTTATGACACCACATGAGTTGAAGTTTTGTCACAATTTGCGAAAAGCAGTTGAAAATTTAAAGCCCTTAACCTGCTTAAAATTAATTCAAATCTCAGATGCATTTGAGAGCTACTGGCCCTCATCATCAGTTGTGTGACTGATTTTAAGGTACCACCAATTTTCTGCAATAATCTCGTTGAAACTCATCAAATCACGTTTTTTAATGTGTGCCTTTTTTTGCAGTTACATCGGCCGACCTACAGCAGCTTCCCCCGCCACTGGTAGCAAAATGCAATTCTTGAAAGAACAGAAGTCCATCTACGATGATCTTCTTCACTTGTAAACTGGTGCGGTCTGTTATTACTAGCAACCTCATCTACATCATACCGTATTAATATTTGTAAAAGCACTTTCTGTTTGAGAGTAGCCAATCGAGAAGTAACTGTAGCTTTCAACTCTTACGGAAACGTTTGGTGCTTATTTTGAATTCTTGTACTGCTCTGAAATTGTAGAGTGATTCAAAGCTTAAAAATTTTGCATTGTAAGCTCATGTCCAAAGGTTGCCTCAAATTCAGTGCAAAAAAAAATGACAAGAATTTATTAGATTCATCATTTATGTCACCTTTTCTTCAGTAAAGCTTTGATGAAGTAGGTAAAAAAATTCAAGCAATTTTCCAATCAAAATCCACCGAAAAAATTACATGTTTGAGTTATGCTCTGACGCAACATGAATTTGCTCTCTGCGGACTTAACATATTTCTCTCTGAAGTGTTGCCCGGTACTTGTTTTGTGATGTACTATTTATTGTAGATTTTTCTACCAAAATCAGAGAGCTCCCTTTGTATCCTGAGCCTTTGCAACAAAAAAAAGTTGTAAATTTTATCTGTTAATTATTTATTTATTTTTAAAGGGTTAACTCAACAAACCAACTTCCAAAGAACATGTTTTACCTCCAACCAAACTCTGAAAGACTAAGTTTTGCCTCTGTTTTTATGTCTCCTCAGTTTTGAAATTGCATAATATGAAGCTAATTTATTTTAAACTGTTTCCATCTTTTTCCACAGAAAGTCGTACTTCTCAAAGACTCGAGGATGAGTTATTTTTAGAAGTTCGATAACTCGCTTAATCCGCGAAGGAAAGATTGTATTTTGTATTGGCTGTGGTAAATTTTTTGGTAGAGGGAGTGATGCTTTGTAAGCCTCTGCCAAAAAGTGTGTAGTCTTAAGTTGCTATCTTAATAATTTGTTGGAGACTATTGTCACGTCAATACTTTATTCTTGGTAACGTCCACATCTTTTAGATCTTGGCTGTTTCACGAGATAAGTAGGACTGCTGAGCTGCTCACCGTTTGTACAAAATGCTCAGGTTCCTGCAGAAAGGATAACTTACATCTCCTTCTTTCTTCTCCATTAACATCCTCTAGTTGAAAAATGTACATCTTTGATTGTGACATTGCAAATCTCTGCTCGTGTTTTATTTTTCGAAAGAAACTTAACCAATCAAAATCCTCAGTGGAAGTATCATCACTCATTCAAATATATTCCCAAAAAATTTCAAGGAATCATTTCAGTCAGATTTCTTTTTAAAAGCGTAAAACATAATCAGAGAATTTTAATCATTGCATTGGTGTTATGTTTTTCAACTAAAGCGATCGATATTGAGAGCATACCATTGTTAGCATTTTTTATAAACTGTGAGATAATCAAATGGATGACATCATCCATGAAAAAGAAAGATGAGCACAGCCTCAAAATTTTTAGTTGTCAGTATCGAAAACTTAAATGACTGTTTTGTTTCTTGCGCTTTCACTCTGGTGAGCAACGCCAAGCGTCCATATCAGTGAGTGCCTCCTTGACAGCCGTAAAGAAAACCAATATTATTTATTGACTTACTTATTTAACTAATATTAATCAGATCAGTTGCTTATGTGATAGTCAAAATCGTTTTAGGTTAAGTACCTGAGTTGTCCCTCTGTAGGTGTGCTCTATAGGTTCTTCTCATAGTCAATGAATATCATATTCCTGCTTATCTAACTGTAAGGCTCATCCAGTCACTCGACTTATCTCTTGTATGGTAACAAAGCCATTTCTCATGGAAAGGTCTTTGTAAGAACTTGCTCAGGTGCGCAATGAAATTTTGAACGATGATTATTTTAACCAAAAACTCTCCGATATTCTTAGCTCTCTCTTTAATTAGTACATTAGTGAAGGAAGTAGGAAAAAATAAGCAAAGCCAAATTATCAAATTACCAAGAGTATATCGGCAGATTTAGGAAGAAAAACGTCTTTATTTTTTTAAATCTATAAAAATATTCCAAAGTTACTAAGCAAGTAGAAAATCCTTACTTAATTCTTACTTGCTATTCACTTCACGTTTTTTATGCACGCAAAAAAATAACTTATTTCCTCAAAAAAAAATTCCTAATTGTTATTTATTGACTCTAATTTCATTTTTAGTTCAAATAAATCGTTTATTTCTGTATTTGTTGACTTTTACTATCCCTTAAGTCTAGTGATTCCCAGATGAGTAGCCAAGTTTTCAAGAATTAAAGTTCGATGAGGACGAAGTTCAGTTAAATAGCTATTTCAAGCATACCTACATGCAAAAATTGGGCAAGCGCAAGTTTTGGATATTAAATAGCTGTTTGATTATTATTTATTGATATTGAATTTCGATTTTTGAGAACTCTGATACTTTCATGGACTATTTAGGAAAAGTCTTAGGATTTTTCCAACAGCTCATTAAGTACCTACCTATAGGTATGTACATGGAGCTCCTCAAGAATCCTGCATTATTTGTCTTTTTCATCCTCATTCATATGATACATCGTCTAATGATGTGTAGGTGCTCAGGTACCACAATGCAATGAAAATATTAAAATAAAATTCAACAGTGTAAGTTGGCAATCACATAACTCGTTTGCAGTGTCTGAAAATCTCCGCCTTTATGTTATCTTTTTTAAAGGAGGACAAATTGACCTCAATCCTTGGAGTTTTTGCAGAACTTTCTTTGCACAGAGGAGAAAAATCACAGCAGTTTTAGAGAATTGCTGTTGAGTAATTTTCCGTTCAAAAAATAAAGTATGACAGGAAGTCTGAGTCATCGCAAACCGAGTTATGTGATTGCTGACTTACATCGTGGAATTGCGATTTAATTAAATAAAATTAGGATTCTTTACCATGAAATTGCAAGTTTTGTTACCTCATTCGGTCAATGAGTAAATGATTTCAAACGATCAATAATATGAGATCAATGGATCAAAAATATAGTCAATGAGTCAATGATTTCAAACGATCAATAATATGAGATCAATGGATCAAAAATATAGGCATTTTGCTACGCAATGAAAAATCGCAACTTTTTTCAATTTGATTGCAATAAATTTCAATGATAGTTTTCTTTTCAATCTGAAGATAGGCAACAAAATGTAACATTCTGATGCAGTGCCTGAGAGGCAATAATTTTATCATGTAATTGCAATCTGTTTTAAGTGGGTGGTTTCCCTTTCAGAATTCCTACCCGTTTTTTTACAAAATTTTTGCCTCTAAAATGAAATCATAAATTGGAAAGAATTAAAGTCACTCTTTCAATGAGAATTCGTAAATAATATGAGTTTTTACAGGCAAATGGGCTCTCTACTGTATTGTAAGCGCACTATCATTGGCCTAATAGTTCCTGCTCCCTCGAATACAAAACACCTAAAAATTTCGAGGAAAAATATTTATAACTCTTCAAAAATGAACATTTTCTGAGAGGAAATTTGGCAACATTTGAACGCTCCAATAGGGTTTTTACTTAGCACGGCAGAATGAAGGGCAAGCCTGTGTAAAAATCTCGTAAGTATGCGTTATTTACGCGGTTTTTAAGGCATTTTAAAAGGAGCTGCGGCAACGCAGCAACATAGCCGCGGCGTTGCCGGCGTTAGCTTCTTAATGTCGCAATAGCTTGCGGCCGCGCATTTCTGCACGCAAGATCTTTATAAAATATCACAGAAATACGACTATATTTCACTACGATTACCAAGTTTACGATGCACATCTAAATAAGCGTGTCTGGTAATGTTTCTACATTTTTGCTAAATAAGAAGAATAATGCAGACAACGCAATGCAACAGAGGGCAAAACAGCTGTTTCGAGCAAGGCGTACTTGCGGAAATCCAAACCCGACTGAGGCCGGGTAATCAGCTGTAGTTCTAGCGTGATAGCCGTGAACAGACATTACCTGCACCGTGTGTCCTAGTCCCGTGTTTTCAATCGCATCAGTCATTATCATTTATCATCAGTGCTTGAAATCATTTCAGAATTGTATCAAACTATCATTCTACAGTTCCTCACCACGACTTACGAACTCCGCGCTAGGATATTATGTGATTATCAGCGAATCTTCGTTCACAATCTCGTCTAGTGCATCTTGTGTATTCATTAAAGTGACGTCATGTATAACAATGGCCAGCGTAAGTTTCCTCCATAACTTTAAATCGTTTTTTCGCTTGGAATAAAATGTCGGATGTCGCTGAAAATGCCGGTATCCCTAGATCGGTGGCTTTGAAATCGCGTTTTTGGCAGTGTTTCGGGTGTGCAAGAGATTTTTCATTGAAGATTTGCCGTTGAAAAAGTGAGCTGAAACGCTCGTGCATGTGACCTTGATATTATGATACATCATGGGTCAATCTACATTTTTACACTCACGTCCTAATTTTTCTAGCTGAAACTGACGTGTTTTGGCGTCTCCGACCTTTGGTATCGAATGAAATTTCAGTTGGCGGAATCACTCTCGTCCGCCGATTTGAGTTTTCCGTGGAATTCCGCGGCGGAAGCATTGCGCCGAACGCGGATAATCGTGCTATCTGCTGGCGTTTCCTCTGAGCAATGGTCTGAGAGAAAGTGACAAATAGAATGTTGCATAAAAATTAGTTTCCCTGAAGTAGGTCACGATCGGTGTTGGACCTCACATTGGGCATTGTGGCACACTCGAGTTTGTTACCATGATATAATAATTTCGTAATCGGAATCACCAATCGAGGAATTTTTCAATTTTTATACAATTCCTGTCTACTCATTGTTTATCAACCCTGTTGTTTTAACTGTTATCAGCAAGTGCTTTTATCTGATCAATTCTGTGTGTTGGAACTTCACCTTTAAATGTGTCTGAGTATGTATTTTGATCCCTTGTGTGTGTCATACTTCCTAAATTGTTCTACACCATAACAGGTGTTATTTCAAGGGTCAATCTGAATCATTAATCAAGGTTTTTGCTGGTCCTGCTGCTGTATGTTGAAGTTATTTTTCAGGGGAAATTTTTTCATCCCAAAATGAAATGTTTTAACTGTAAGTACAGCTGCATTAAGTTTGGGTCGCACTTACCCAGGAGTATGTGAAAACTTTTCTTTCTTTTGCTCTCTAAAAATAAGAAGCCTCATGAAAGTTTCTGTACTGGTCATTATGAACCCTTGCCATTAATGGCTTTCCTAATATTCAGTTTGGCCACTAGTAACTCTTGATTTGATAAATTCAGCATATAATTGTTTTCACCCTGTCATCCTTTTAATGCTATCTGCTCCTCTGAAACTCAATTTAAAGAAGCAATAAGTGCACTTGCATGTAGGATCCAGAAAATCTCGGAGCAAGCCTTAAGTAAGAAGTAGTCGGTTATTTATCCTCCTGTCATGCCATCTGACTTTCTTGAACACTTAATTTCAATGGATGAATAATGAGATTAAATGCTTGTCCAGGCCCATCTGTAGAAGGAATATCTACAGATGTAAAAATCTTCATATAGTTCGCATCTATTTCTCTCCATCATAGGTATCCAATGAAATTTTAGGAGACCTCATAATACATTGTTTAACCGCAGGAGTTTTTCATCAAGTTTTTTAGTTAGAAAACTCATCAGGAAATTAAAGAGCAATGGGTTTTGCAAATTGAATTGAAAGAAATGTGCCGGTGGTATCTTCCCTGCTGCAGAATCATCCAAATCCATAACCTGTATTATGAGAATTGTGTACCAAATCAAATTGCCTCTCTTGACTGGAACTCTCTTGGATCCTCTTACCAATGTTCCCAGGAATGCTGTATATAAAGTCAGCATGCTTTACCGCTCTTCCTACTGCTATTGGCCGCTCCGTCAGGCGTTCGGCCCTCTTAAGATATGGATGTGTTTTTCCTTACAGGTACTTTTAGTCCGTACGTGGTCTGTGCCGGCACAGGGAAGGTCTGCATGGCACGGCTGTAGCTGCATGCTTGGGATCACTGCCTCTTTCAATACGTCACTGCCCATGAGTCATAAATTAGTAGCTTAGAGCAAAAGGGTTTAAATAAACATTTAGGAAAAATCTAACTTTCTCTCTAAGTACTTATGTTCATAAGGAGGGCTCTATGTTTGTGAACAATTTTGGTAGTACTTACCATCTAATGCCGCATGAGAGATCCAAACCTTCTAAGTAAAATTTAATTTTATGGGAAGCAGTGGGGCAGATAAGCAGATTTCTCAAAATGGAATAACAAATCCAAGTTGTCAATTCTCTCATGAACCTTTTCCTCAAAAAATTTTCTTTTCAGCAGTATCTAATTATAAATTTTTTCTGCTGATTCCAGGCTTACGATTATGATGATTGTGTCAGCGGAATTGAGGGAGATTCTGAAGAAGAGGATCAAGATGGAGTGGAATCAAAAGAACCTCTTTACCATGCAAGGAGGCCTATGAATGCTTTTTTAATATTTTGCAAAAGGCAAAGAGCTGTCGTTAAGGAAAGATTTCCTCAGCTAGAAAACAGAGCAGTAACCAAAATTCTTGGAGAATGGTGGGCAAACCTTGAAGAAGGGGAAAAATCTTCCTACACAGATCTAGCAAAACAGGTTTGATATTTATAATTTTCATGCCTCGCTGTCCCTAAAAGTATTTTTTTATCATGTCAACCTTCCCTCTAAAGGGTATGTGGCACTCATTTTCAAAATTCATTTTCAGAAAAGACAGAGTGAACTAAAGCCTTAAGAACTTTTTCAGATTTATTTTTATTATTGAACTGAAATAGCAATGCAAACCCACTTTGAAAATCCTAATAATGAGACCTGTTATAAACGATAATTTTGGTGAGCTCAGCTGACATGGGCAAGGCTGGTGCAAATAGTACAGACGGTGTTTGGTTATCGGCCATACTCAGCTTAGGCATTTTGGATTTTGATAAGCTTTTTCTCCCCCAGAAAAATATTTTGAACCCTCCAATTAATGAACTTTTTCGTTTGGTAACAAAATTTTATGTATGGAAACTTGTGCTAACCCTGCAAAAATTCCTTGCCAATGCCCCACTATATGTAGAGCTGTAAAAACGGAAATGGAATGTACATTTTGAATCAGAAATGTTTCCTAAATCCCCGTGGGTTCTACGATGGCTTAAGGAGATGGACGCACAGTCACAGGAGGTACTCTTAGTAAAATTGAGTTTTTCCATGAACCTTAACCTGATTTTTAAAATCGTAAGCTTCTAATGCTGAAAGTGTGCCTGATGAAGACATTTTTACTAATTTTATTTCTTTCTTTTTATTTGAAAGATGCATGATGGAAACTTATTTTTCGGACGACCCTTGTCCAACATCTCCATCTATCTATAGTATAAAATACTGATGTCTCCATTCAGTTACAAAGATACTTAGTTTTTCAGTTGTCTCCATATTTTTTTTCAAAGTAAATTATTTCTGCTTTGCCGAATGATTCACTGGGTGAGCTAAATGAAACAGATGAGTAAGACCCTGCGTTGTTACCCAATGGCGTAAATCTGCTCTCTCTTAATCACCCTCAATGAATAGCCCCAATAGCAGATTTTCTGATGGGAAAGAAGGTTTAAAAAAGTTATGAGGTCTGAGTCCTCTCACAGTCCTAAGTCCACCTCATACCATCGAAGGAACTTTTACATTTTTCCATTTTTTATTTACTTAAGGTAGAATTCTCGAACTGGCTGTAATCCTACTTAATCAGCTTAATATTTGTTTTTTCAGTATCGGGAAGCTTTCTTGAAAGCCAATCCTGGATTTAAGTGGTATAAATTACCAGCCCCGACATTGAGGCCTATTAGTAACAGACTGAAACTTCTCCCAGACCTTATTTCTCATCAAGATTCTATCACTCCAGGGAAGCTTGCAGGTAGGTTCCTTTCTCACAGTTTCGTCTGAGTGTTTATAAGAGATAGGAATTCTTATTTCACCAGTTTGAAGCGTGTGCCGATTCTTGTTTTGAAGCTAGTACTTACCTGTTCTGAAATAGTGCCAATTTGGATTTTTCTTCACAGAATTGAATCGAGTCAGACACATCAGTCTTCTAGAAGAAAGAAAAATTGTACTTTTTCTTGTAAACCCTTCAATTTTTCATCAAATAAAAAACCCTTGCAAATAATTCTGGGACCTAATATCTTGTCATTACAGGCATTGTTTGTCACTCATGTGCTGAAACCTCTTTGGAACCCCTGAGTACACTGAGCCATGCATTCCAAAGAAAAGTATTGATACATTGTTTGAATTTTAAGCAATTCCTATAGTTGAATTTTTCATGAAAATGATGAAGTTTTTAAATGGAAGAGTACATTCATCTATAAATTTTTCTTGTTCTTCGTGAGTGTGATTGCAAGACTGCTATGTTTTGCCAAACCTGATTCAGGAGAAAGATAAATATTGGAGCCTTGAAATAATGAAGAAAATGTTAGAAACTAAGAAATACATAAAGATTTTTGAAATTTCTAATCTCTTTAGTCAGTCAAATCTTTTCTTCTCTAAGATAACTTTCAATCCCAAACAATAATTAATTATTAACTGATCAGTGTCAAACATTAAACTTTGTTTTATTCAGAATTCTAAAGAATCCTTTAATCTTTCATTTCTCTGCGGCTGTTTCAGACGAGTCTCAACTTGGAGGACTTACCAGTCTACTTGTGCCTTACAATAACATGTCTGTTTCTCCCACCTTTGCCGTTCAATGTGTACCAAAACCTCCCAAAAAGCGCTATCTTGAGGAAAATGCAACCTCTGATGATCTAAATCAAGTAAGTACTATGCCAGACCGTGTGTGAGTTGTTGAAAATCGACCATTTCCTAAAATTTTATCCACAAGGTTTTATTTTTATTTTTAACAGACACTCTAGATGGATGTACGGTTAGTTTCGTGATATGAAACTCCTGCTAATGCCAAAAGAAAGGATGCCAGAGAAAAGTATCTGAAAAATTGTTTCTAGGAGCATATAGAGAGTGATTTAAAAGTCCTCCCTCAAAAGTTCAACCCCGGATCTTGCCAAAAAGGGCAAGAACTCTCTAGAGTGTTGGGGGGCTTTTGGATCACTCTGTATATTCATCATTCATAGTTTATGAATCCCAAATTGTCAAAAAATCAACAGTGCTAATCTTGTTCGTATTTTTATTAAATTTTCCCTCAGTAAATTTTACTGAGCCAAAATGATAGGTCCATCATCTAAGTGAAATTTGCAGATGGCAGGTTGCCTCAGCTGTTGGAAGAACTTTACCCTCAACTTATTTCAGATTGCATCGTACTACATTATATCCAATCATAATTTTCCTCCGAACAGGACATTAGTTATTCATTTTCTGCATCTTTCTCTCTTTTGCAGATTTTGGATGAGATGCCAAACAAAGTAGCACTTGAGTCGGAAGCTGTTCCTAGTTATTCCGAAAATGATTCTAGTGCTATAAAAGCAATGGAGATCGAACCGTTTGCAAAGTTACGTAATTACTCAGTAACAGCCAAAGAAAACATTGCTCAAGTGGAGAATAAAGCTGATGGAAAAAGTATGTTGTTGCTGAGCAATGGTTCTCTTGAAGCTTCGTCTATTAATAGTTGTTTAGTCGTTAAAAGTAATAACAATAGTTTTTCTTACACTTGTGATAGAAGTAACCTCAAAGTCAAATGTGAAGAAATGGTTTTGGTATCCGACAGGAGCAAGTCACCCAGTAATCTCAATTCTTCAACTTACAATTCCTTGAACAATAGCACTGATGGTCCAAATGTCAAATGGAAAACAAAATTTGATAAAATCAAGTCAAGACACTTGAATTACAACAATAATATCGTTAATGAGACTTACGACTCCTTAAAGTGTTCAAGCTATGAGTGCAATTCAAATCAAGACACCCTTCTGAACAAAGTGGTGAATGGTAATTTGAAAGTAGAACCCAGAGATCTGGACATAAAAATTGAAGATGCCTCGATGAACGGATTCCTCATTCAGGCTGCTAGTAAGTTGGATTGTTTCGGGACGGAGTGTAAATCCTCAACCCAAATCGCCCTTGACAGTGGAAAGTCAACAGTATTGTCTCAAGCTTCCAGCATGGCTCCTAAATCAAGCCTCAAAAGCGATCAAGTTTTCTTTCATGAAAATAAGTTACCGAATACCAAAACTGCCGACAAGCCACTAAACAAACCACCTATAGTGAGCGATGCATCTGACACGAACTTCATGAGACGGAACAAGAGTGTTCGGGCTTGTAAAGGTGCTCGCTACCAGGAGTTTATGTCCTCAAACCAATTGGGCCGAAAACGGAGAAGGAAAAAGTAAGTTCCAACTGGAATTTTTTGTTTTTACTGCGGAAGTTGCTGCTTATCAGATTAGCTTGCTCTAACAGGGTGTCTAGCATCAGGATTTTCCCGATTCTGTCAGAATTTGAGGTCTATCAGGATTTAATCCCAATTTCATCAGGATCTGAGGAAAAATTGGTCATAAAATCAGGATTTGAGAATAGTCGGCCGTTCGATCCGATCGGATTTTTTAATTGAGCTACTTTTGTGAAGTTAAATTCGCCTTGCGTGAAGTCAGGATTTGGATAAATTATGAAATCAGGATTTGGTAGTCAAAAATCAGAAAAAATCAGGATTTCATCAAGATTTCCCAAAATGAAAAAAAACTAGACACCCTGTTTAAAACTTCACCACAAAACATTTTGCCGACATAAGCTCCAAGACATGTATCTCAGTTTGCAGCATCGCAAGCTTTGAAACTTATCTTATTTTTTTAAAGCCAAGAAAATCTAATCAACTTCTTTTTATATTTCCCCTGGGGTTTTTTTTCTCTCTTTCTTTTTTTTTCTTTGAAAGATCATTCTGCAGAAATGTCACAGTAATATTGCGCTAATATTTTTTTTTGTAAAAGGAAAGTGGGCCAATAAATTTTGAAGATATCTGTAGGAATCATTTGTTTCAAAACTGGTAATTATATTGAACATTTTTAATCAATTTTTATCTTTCAGCACCCCAAACGACAGCAGATATGAAGGCCATGAAGAAGAAGAAATGCTGAATCATCGTTTGTCAAAGTCTGGCTTAGAAGAATTCAAACCTGCCAAAGAAGAGAAGCATTACGAAAAGATGGAAATTGAATCCATGATCTACAATATCAATGATAATCTAGATCAAAGTAGTCTAATCGCCAATGACATGTTCTTGACAAATACAGCTGTGAACAAATTCGCTCATTCAAGGCCAGGCAAGCAAGTCAGGCCAACGAAGCCAAGGAAAAGGTAACAATTCAGAGAGAATTTTTCTGCTTTAATTTTTACAGGCATAAAGTGAGTGCAAATCCTTTTCTCCAATCACTTTAGTTTTTTGTTCAACAACATTTTTTGCACAGTAGATCTCTGTTAACGATCAATGTGGGTAGGTAAAATTTTAAGTTTCACTCGAACTGTTTCAGAACTTTAGACACAAATGATCAGGGATGACTATTGACAGAGGGGGGAGATGATGGACTAACAATTTGGTCTTTTCCTCTCTCCTCTTTGTCTATTGCTTTGTCTATCCGTTTCAATAACCAGTCTTCTGGAGTTGCAAGTAGGATACTAGGTTCATTGCTATGAAATTCTTGTCAGTGCTCCTTCCATATTTTGTGTTGTAGCCACTGCAACTGCTAAAAGCAGACTAAGCGACCTCTTACAATCAGTTTTGCTCGCAATGCACATTGCAGAAACAGCTCAAAGAAAATCCACAGGTGGAGTCTTGAATATGTCTCGTTTGAAGCATAATATTGGCATGCACACTCCTCTCTGACTGAGTTAAGTAATTCGGTTTGAAACCTTGCAAAAATCCTCTATACAGTGTTTCTGTGTCAGCCACCTAAAATCTAATTCTCTAAATTTTAATTGCAGCTTCACCGCACCAAAATCCCACCTACCGGATTCCCCTAGTGACAATACGAATGTTGACAAAGAAGACACCGGCACGAAGTAAGTATTAAATCATCCTCCACTTTACAAATTTGTTGCTTCACCATGTAGAGTGAAAGTTCATACCTCCACTTTATTTACATTTTCCACTGCTTTTTTTCCTATTTTTGCTAACAAATTTCGAAAATGCATCAGAAGATTACACATAGTTTCACTTAACTGAATGGAGTAAGCCATTTCACACTTTTTTACATTCTTCCTTGTTGCTTATTTGTACATCATAGATCAAAGGAAATGTATGTGGGTTTCGAATTTAGATGGGTAAAATATCCAGGATATCAACATTTTTTGTTTTTTCAACACCCCTGACTACCACTGATATCTGGATAATTGGGGGTTCAGGTTCACTGTATCAGTTAAATCAAGAAAATTTCCTCATGCAAAACCCATCGAATTGTAATCAGCGGAGCAAATAAAAATTAACTCAGTAAACATTTAGAATTTTTCAAACTCAATCCTAACACTGCTTAAATTTTTTCAACTAGGGGGCTGTACTCCCTAATCGCTTTGCGTTCCAACCCCCAAAGCGTTGTGCCTCAGGCATTATGCGTTATGCGGTACTCCCATGGTTTCATATTAATTTTTTTTTTCAATATGCTCCGGTATTTCAAGTAAGGTAGCTTACCCTGCAAGTAGGTTCCATGCAAGATCAAATGTAATAAATAGCCCAACCACTTATTGAATCTCCTTTTCTAAGATTTCAGTGGTTTCATTCACAATTAAATAATTCAAAGAAAAAACCAATAGTGCACTCAACTTTTGATGTTAACTTGGAGGTCAATTTAAATTTTTTCAAATCTAGATATATGTGACACTTACAAATGAGAATCATAAACTCATGTTGCACTTACAATTAGTAATCAACCTGTGAAATCAGGAAAGTCAGCCAGTCCGTGAGTCTACAATCAACTTTTCCGGTAGTTCAAGCCAGCTGCAAAGTTCAGCTCCCAAGCTTGCGCTGCTGCTCTCTTTTGAGATGCTCTTCTTTAGTATATCAGTTCTAATTTTCTCAAATGTTCTATTTTCAGTTTCAATCTAGAGGAAAAAATAGACGCCTTACCAGCTCTGAGCTTAGAAGAGTTTCAAGAGAAGAAGCGTTTGAAAACTAAAAAACATTCCTCCTTGGAGAATGGTCAAGATGCTCTCTCAAACGGTGTTGAAAAACAACCACAGTTTCAGTGTGAAAGCCATCCCAAACCTCTCATCTGCAACACCAGCACCGGCTCAGATAGCTGTAATAGAATAGTGAATGCAGAATCGAGGTCTAAATCTGAAGGAGGCCCTATAGAAAACAGTTCTATTATGAATACCGTAAGCAAACATGAAGCAATGAAATCTGTCAATAAAGAGCTTTTAAACGCCTTTCTCTTCACCAGTGGTGGTGCATCGTCCTCTTCAAATGGAGTTATGAGGGATCAGAAATCCTCCTTATCAGGTGAACTTTTGTTTATTTCTCCCCATTTATCCAAGCCTTTTAGATGAAGTTCAGCCCACCTCCAAAACTAGGCGACTACTCCCCTGGCTGCTACGCGACCTAACCCCAGACAGCACATAGCCTCACTCTATAAGGCACGTTTTGTGGGCCCCTGTGAGTTAACTTGAATAGATCTAGCTCACTCGGGGACTATTCTGCTGTGCTAAGGAAGAACGCCGTATGAGCCTTAAGACGTTTCCAAGTTTCCTCTGATAGAAACCGAATGTACTGAGGAAATTGTGAATATTATTTTCCACAATTTTTAGGCAATTTTGTATGCAATTTCATCAAAAAATCTGAAAATTTCAACAAGGGAAAATATGCATGAATTTTGTCTAAAATACATGTTTTATCAAGAGAAATTTGGCAACTCTCGAATGTTTCTATGGCGTTCCTCCTTAGCATGGCAGTATTGCCTATCGATAGCTGCAAAAGTTCTGAAAATCGGCCCTGTAAATCTTTAAAACAAACTGTGATCAGGAATAAACTCTTTCATTGTTTAAATGAGAGGATTCACTACTTTATCATGAAATATACATGAATGTGGGCCATATTTCCAAAATCTGATTAAAGTGGGCTCATCTGAAAACTATCAACTGTTGATAACCACAGAAATCATGGAAATCAACCCAGGTTAACACCTATCTGCATTGAGACACTAATGGCACGTACGGTGTTTTTAAAACGAACCAGAAATTGTAGTTATTAATTGCCAAATGTAGTCTGAACGGTGAAATGGAAGAGTTTGAATAATTGAGGAGTTGCAATATGCAAAATAGGTTAACAAATCAACAAAAAATTCATACCACCTACTGTACATAATGGGTGAATTTCAGGGTCACAAAATATTCCTGAACTTGCGATCTTTAGATCATTGCAAATAATATGTGCATTCCGTGGGCTGTAAGGCAATTTTCCCAAGAGATGACTTCTAATGATCCCCAATCAAAATTCGGATTAATTAAGTATTGAGAAGGAAAGAAAAGGTACAGTAGTGGTAAATCAAATGAAAGAATCGTTGGAAAAGTTTCAGAGTGAGAAAAAGGTCAGAATAAAATTTTCAGTGTTTTAAAAACTTGAGTATCTCCAACAGATTCAGCTGAATCCTTTTCCTCAGCAGGCAAACGTCTAAGCCTTAATATTTGCTTACAGGCACTGCTGATGGCACATTAGTTGGCAGTCGCAAAAGGAAAGCTCGTAGACAAAAAATTACACATTTGGAGCCTGGATCAAAGAAAAAAGGTAAATTTTTGAACCGAATCAACCTCCTGTTTGAGTTTACATATTCAATTACTTAACATCTGATACTTTTAAGCCTCTGACCGAAGTTTTCAAACGCTTTTTCTCATAACTTCATTTCTTAACTGAAAATTTTAATTATTGCATTGGGTCACTAAACCATGAACAAATTTTGACTTGAGTATACATTTTTCTGGAGGTAACTGACGTGTAGAACATAATATGCACTTTGAAACGCAAAAAGGTAATGCAGAAACCAAGGAATACAGTTCTAAAAGAGAAACCTTTCTGCAATTTTCAAACGCCCTGGTTTCAGGCCGAAGCGAATGATGTCATCCAACACCAATCAGAAGTGAGCACAGGTTTTTACAACTTCCGTGAAAAGGTCTTTTTACTCCTGGTATATGAAAACAGGAATGTCGGAAATATATCTTTAGAATCAAAGAATCGAATTTCTCATTTTATTTACAGTAAGCCTGCAGCAATGCAACATTGAAGTACGTTTTATTTTAACAATCAACAGTGGAAAATGACAGGAGATAGCAATTTGTAGAGTTGGGCCGGGTATCTGGCGATTATCTAAATTGCCGGATACGATTCTCGCTGGTATCCGTATCCAGCCGCATAATCGCGCGATTCGGTTTTTGTACCCGTCGGATAGTGCTTTTTCGGCCATGGAAATTTCGAAACATTTTTGTTGGTAATTTGGCGCACTTTGACTAGTCATGGTAATTGTGCAACTTTTCGAAACTTGTTATTATCTGAATTAAGTATGTTTTCCGCAAATTAACATGATCCTTAATTCCTTAAAGCATTTTCAAAGACGAAGAATGCAGGTAGAAGAGAAAAAAAAACAATGTCACTAGCAGATACATAAGTTCCCGTTCGTAAAGTTTTTAGTCCGAGGGTAACTCCGTAAGTATTGTAATTTCGCAGTACGCAGTTGTCATTGCAGTATCGAAACAAAGGCCAATTAAGTTTGTGGTCGGTTTAAACATCCATTCTCATTACATCCATACATTCATCCATTTCTCTTGTTCATTTAGAGATTCTCAGCAATAGAGATTAACCGAGCAATTTTCCATCACAAGACAAGCTTTCAAATGCTGTGACTTTTGATTGGCAAGTGGCAACGGTGCTTTCAATAGTGTGAGGTTGGCAGCGCTGTTTTCCACTTTTGTCCTGGTTACTTGCACTTCGGATAATATCTTTCTAGCTCCGCATCAGAATCAGATCCGTCTGGTCCATCACATCACGAATCGAACGAAAGCTAATGCTGGCCATCTGCTGGGTCATTTTTTTTTAGTATTCGTTATAGCAGGCCGACTTATCGCGTGTCTTTGAAAATAAGAAGGTTGCCAGTACGGAGGCACATACATCGTGGATGACAGTCTCAATGGTCCAACACACAGTGTGCCTCCTGTTCCAAACACAAAATCGGGAGATTTTTCTCACGCGAAATGACACTATCCATATCCGGTATTATCCGGTTCTGGCCGAATACCTCTGCAAATTATCCGGTATGCGGCTCCGGCCGGACAAAAAAGATCAATATCCGTATCTGGTAATGCGAAAAATCCATTGCGGCCCAATTCTAGCAATTTGACTGCCATAGTACGTCACTTCCATCATTTTCCGCCATGCTGGCGTGTTTGAAGTTCCTTCAAGTCTCTGGACTTTTTAAAAGCGGGCTTAACTGAGCTTTTGGCTCCAAAAATATGCAATTGATCACGACGTAACCTACTCACCTGCTCCTCTCAGAAATTAAATAAAAAACACAAAGTCTGGTAACTTACTGTGACTTGATCTGACTCTTGTAAGCATTTTTATGTCCAAATTCTTGTAAAAATTTCAATGGCCTCCTGTGGTGTAGAGGTTGTAGCGCTAGCTCCATAATCGGGAGGTCCCAGGTTCAATTCCCGGCCAGGCAACCCGAGTTTGGTGGTCTTAACCAATGGTTGCCTGGGACTGGTTGTTCAATAGGGACGGAGGGGGGATGGGACTAAAGCGCAGGATTAGCCCTTGTGGGCTATTTGATGTTGTAAAAAAGAAAAAAAAACCTTTAATTTAAAGTCTAATACTAATAGTATTCTCATTAATGAATCACTCAAAATGTATATCGTGAACCACCACAACAGCCATTGTTCATTGACTCGATACATAAAGAGGAAAAGCATTATAAAATATCTCACTACCTAATGCCTAATTTGTTCCAATGTTGCTCTTGCATGCGTCAAAGATTTGCAATTTGAGTAATTTTTCTTGCGTAAAATTTATACATGTCCAAGAAAAACTAAAGTGCTGCTGGTTTTCTCTGAAACAAACTTCCAAGCTCAAAAAAAACTTTCCAAGTAGAGGCAATAACAGAAGAGATCCTGTCAGTTACAACCTCAAATTTGAGAGCTGTTTTTGAGCTTTGGGGTTTGTTTCAGAGAAAACCAGTGGCATTGTGTTTGTTGCAAAATTTTACATTAAAAAAAGTACTTTAACTGCAAATTCCTGATGCAAGCAAGAGCTCCAATATAGCAAGCCTTCAGTCCTAAAGACCTGAGCCTGTTGGACTAGGATTAATTTATCTTAGGTGAAATCTTGCGTGAGCATTTCCAGTTCTATATATGATTATTTTTCTTACAGACACATCAGTTGTGGAAGTGGACATTCTGAATGACATGGGTCTCGCCACATTGGCAGAAGTAGCAACCCTGTCCAGGAAAGAAAGTATCCTCAAAATCTCTTCTTAAGTAAATACACTAACTTAAATCATATTTCTTGCATACACTAAAGTTTTTTTTGTTTTTCTAAATAATCCAGAAACTGTATCTTTTCTATGACTTTATCATAAAGTTAGAAACTTTTGCTTTTCTAAAAGTAAATTTTCTTGTTTTGAAAGTTGTGTAATCGACGGAATTTCTAAATCCCGTAATTATTAATTGTCTACCCAAGCATCGCTCTGGGTAGTTTGTGTATATTTTGTAGCTTTCTTGCATCAAAGAAGGAATTTTTACGTAATTAAAGTCTGCATTGTAAATATAGACACCATGAAAGCCTCTTGCCTTCATAAAAAATTCCTATTCAAGCAATGATTTTTTGCTTCCAAAGAACGTGCATTGTTTTTACGAGTGCTTGTATCATATGTATTTATTTCTAAATCTTTAATTAGGCTTTCTCTTCTCTTACGTTCTCTCTCACTTTTGATTTCTGTTTCATTTATCCTCAAACTTTAAGTTTGTTTTTTTTTTTTTTACCGCTTTATTTCTCTGTGTTCAATGTGCTTTCTTTAATTACTTTTATTGTCCTTAGTATTTGATGAAATAGCCTCAATCTCCCCATTAGCCAAAGGTATTTATCATTGCAGCAATGAACTATGTAGGCTGCGTCTTAAAACGAGAATTCCAAAAATTAAAAAGAAAAAATCATTATTGTAAACAATTTTAGCACTGAAGGTATGACTTTTAAATAATTTTAAAAATGGAACACTAAAAAATGTGTTCATTTCTCTGTATTCGAATGATTTTTTATTTTTTTAAAATTTATTTCATTTTAAATTTTCTTGATTCAAACCAGCCCCTCTATCCATATTGTTGTTCACAAAGGACAGTCTAATAATCAAGAAGCACCCCATGTTTTGGAATAATTTTGGCTTCGTAAAATGAATTCAAACTCCTATAGGAATTATAGGTTTTATCATCGTGTCTGTAAGAAGTCATTGATTAGATGTCAAAGGTTACAATTACAGGTTTTCTGTTCACTTTTCATATTGATTTAGAAATACTAACGGATGTTGCAAAACTAGAATCTTTTCGTGGACTTTTAATGGTGACTTCAACTCTAAGAAAATGGCCGGCTAAATCATTCAGTATTTCCACTGTGAATATTATTGCTCAAAATCTAAAGCTAATTAATGCAATATATTGCATGCCAGTTGGACATGTTCAGACCTCTGGAGAAATTATCACATTATCACATTTCTAAATCCTCATTTTTTTACCCTCCGGCCTAAGTTTCACGAGCGTTATTTGTGCTTAGTTGCTATGTTGCCAAACTCCTCAAACTTGTCCATTTTTTTACGGAAAAAATAACGAATAGAAGCACTAAAAAAAACCTAATATTTCGTTTGCCGTCAAGATTAATCTCTGAAATGTTCATGAAACAGAAAAGGATTCAAAGCATTTCTATATCAAATGCCTTTTGCTGTAACCGCTTTAAGGAGTTTAAAAAAACCCAGCAATGTTGGATTTGAAATTTGTGAAAGTCCTTCAAATTTTTGTCGATAAACCAACTCTATGGATTACAATGATTATTTCAGGCACTTTTCTAAAAGTGTAATTGTTATTGTTATTATTCACTAAGTGTAGAACTATGGGTTCTGAATATTATTTTTTGCTGTAGTCATGATCAAAGATCGTAATTTTCAATTCAGTCCTAGAAATTACAGTCATTGATTTTTTACCATGATTATTGTTGCTGTAATCATACTTGTTAATATGCCAGTTATATTATTGTTAAGAGTTGGTTTGATATCACTAATTTTTTGTTTACGTTTGCTTTCAAATAATGAACTAAAATGTTATGACCGTCCCTTTCAGGTTTTTTTGTGGAAAAGGCCATTGTGTTTTATGTAATAAAGGGTGTTTCAACCACAGAGAAAGTAACTAAGTGAAAGGGCCGTTTTTTAACTACCTGCATGATTACTCCGACAGTTGCTTGCTCTATAAAGAATGTTACTCTAATGATTGAAAATAAAACAGGGGTATTCAGGGAAATCCGTGTCGGTAAAGCTATTGACATCTGCTTGTTTCAAAATACTGACACACTCCAATAAGGTTGCTCTTGTCAGACCCGGGCGGATTAATCAGAACTATGCCAGCTCTAAGGAGAAGCATCACTGCCTATAGTGTGGCTGTTGTTCAGGTTGCGCGGCCTGTTAAACCGATTAACATGGCAGCAGCTCATTTTTACCAGCTACGAAAGCTATTGGTAAGGGTCTTCTTATTGTTACTACCTTTTAATAGAACTGTTTTGATAGCTTACAGAAAACCGATAGAACACCCCTAATTAACACTTTGCTGCCCTTTTATTGATTTATTTTAATCCCTGAAGCCCATTTAAATGTAACTCATTGATGAAGACTGTTGAATGCAATATGAATAGAGTTCGAATGATTGCTCTATAGGTGAAGCCAATAATGCTGCGAAACAAAGGCCTGGTCTTGATAGTGCAACTGTTGGTGGAATTAGATGCAACTGTTGCAGGAACAAGGTGATGAGCAAAAATGTTTCAATTATACGTGAAACTGTCAAGGCCAGAATCCTCGAACATTGAACAGTTTTCTGTTATTCGTTTCCTATTGTTGCGGCTTCTCACCTTGAAAGTTTTACTTATTGTTGAAATATTTTTGGTCCTTACCTCCTGCAACAAAATCAGCACAAGTGCTCCAACCAACTCCTTCATGATTCAAATCAGGTTTACTGTTGTTGAAAAATTTCCTCCTGTATTTTTATCATTGGAATCAAGAAGCATCTGTTACTTCATTGAATTGTAATTGGTTACTAATGAAAAAATGACGTCTGTTGATTAGACAGGAGCTATATCTTCCCCTTTGTTTTTCTATTCTACAGGGTGACCTAAAAGTCCGAAACCACTAGCAGCAGATGCCACCCCTGTAACTTTTGTTCAAATTGAGGTAAGAGACTTTAAGTTTAGTAAGTGCGCCTCAGGCCAAGAGTAACAACTTTTGAGAACCCCCAAAATTTTAAGGGGACCACCCTAAAGAGAGGCAAGAGCTCTAGGATATACAGGGGTGGTGCGGGACTTTTGGATCACCCTCTAACAATCTCTAGTCTGTATTATAAATTTTATATCACTGTCTCGATGGTAAAACATCAGCAACTTGTTTGTATGCTATGACTGACTAAAAATTATGCCTTTAAAACTTTCCTTCTCATAGGGTGAGTGTAATTTTGATCTTTGTAACCTCCTAATTTTTTCCCCCTCATTCTAAGCGGTTTCTGGTTTGTTATTTTTATCAACATTTTTGTTGAGTATGATGTAAACATTCTTGCTTTTTATCGATGAAAGCAAATTTTTTACTTAGTCTTTGCTGGATTGTAACTTGTGTTTTTGTTCTTCTCTTAAAAATCCAGTCCTCATCAATTACCTAAGTAAGATTTTGTCTATTCGCCCGCTTGATTTGATTGCAATGCAAGCGAGGTTGTCAGGCACCGCTAAAATGTGGATATTCTACAAGAGTTTCGATGGAGAAAAGCACTGATTTTCCAGCATTGTCTAGCAACATTGAGGTGCAATTGAGACTTTACTTTTGCTTGTGCTGAATAATTTGAAATGGGTGATAAAAAGTTATTCATTAAAATAGACACTCACTTCTTGTAAAAAAGAGGATTGAAAGACTGTTGGCTCTATTTAATGTGGAAGCTCAATTTTTTAATTAATGTACAGTATTTGCATATTTTGTGATAATTACGATTTTTTTGCGACACTGAGAACTGCACGTCAAGTGAAGCTTAATTTTTAGCAAGTTCTGTGAGAAAGCTTAGTTCATCACAAATCAATATTGGCAAACTAAGTTAATTTTCCAAGGGAGCATATAATTTTTTCTCCTTTTTTGCCAGTTTTCCCCCATTATCTAGTATCTTTATTTTCCTTCACAGGTATCATTTTGTAGGAAGCAATTTAATTTTTTTACTCATCACTTGATCACTTGCGAGCACTCGGTTTTCCTAAAAAGTTAGTGACAAGTGTAAGTTTAATTGTACATTGTCACTGTCTTGAAGGTCATGTTACCTTTTTCTATTTTTAAATTTTACCTCTTACCTTATACTAGGTAAGATTGAGAGTAGAGTTAACTTAACTTGAGGGTAAATTATTTTCATGGTTGCCATTTTATTTATTTATTTATATCTTATCGTCACGAAAGACGAGATATCAGGACTAGTGATGGTGCCCATTTCCTTTTATATTCCACTTACTCAAATCTTATTTGGGCATTGATGAGCGAAAGTAATTTGAACGATTTTTTCTATAACTTGAGTTGAGTCTTCTTTTACAAGAGATTTCGATGAATCTAATGTGGAGCTGAGAATATGGCTGAATGCTACGTACTTCTGTCTACCTTTCTGGTGCTTGAAAGCTAAATGTAACCACTTGCTAGACTTTGGGTAGATTTTCTTCTCCGTTCTTGTGGTTAGCTATTACACTTGCCTAAGCTGCAGCGAGAATAAAAGAACGAAGCTTGATTTCTCTTTTTCTCCCATGGGATGAATAATGTATGTTACATTCATTATTTATGTTTATAAAATGCGGAATTTCCACCATGTTTGTCAAGCCTAGAAGACTATGCCGAAAGAAAAGAATTTCACCCACAGGCCTTGTTGTAAGAAGCTGTGATTATATGTGGGCACACATCTGATGTATTGTTATTGCAATCAAAGTTGAGATTGACTCCCTCACTTTGAAGCTGAAGGAGAATCTGAATCATTAGTATTAAAGATTGAAAATATTTTGTACTTTTGTATAGCTGCCTTTCGTACTTGGTATGAAGGTAGATCTTGTTTTTCTTTTTGAATACCACTGCCATGAATATTGTTAAAATGTGAGTTCAAGTATGAAAAACCAACTGTAAATTCATATTCCTGAATTTCTCAGGATGGGATGCTGCTGTGACTATGTATTAATTAAAGATTATATTACAAATTGAATTCATGTCAGAAAGTAGCTAGAACTGGACTCATGTCATAGTGAGAAAAAGATTTTCATCCACTTGAATTTAGACTATTCACTCAAGTTGAAATTTCCTTAATTATATACTGCAGCGGTTCTTGGAATCTCTATGAAAGTAATCCTCTTTTTTAGATCAAGGAAGCATTTAATCCTGACTTTTCTTCTTACTTGCAGATGTGCATGCACGAAAATATTATTTCTTATTGACAAGGGACTATATTTTTAAAGTCTCAATTATTTGTCATTTTTTTTGTCCAACACTACTTCTATCGACCAAAAGATTTTAAGTGGTTATTAAACAAAGACAGGATTGTGATTTTGTACATTTTCGTAGAGATGATTTAAAGATCTCTACCAATTTAAGAAGTTTTTTAGGTTCCAACTAATAGTTTTTTGTTATCTTCCTCATATTTTTATCGTAAGATATGCTAGCTCCTCAAAATATTTTGTCTATAATTAAATAATAAAATTCTTTAAATAATAAATTGGACTGTGACTTTTATTTGTCTAAAATTTCCTAAGACAGGGAGCTGATGTTGCCTAGTGATTCATGCGCCTTTGGGTGCATTCTACAAGAGTTACTTCAGAACCATATCATTGGTTCATCATGGAGCAACATCTTTGCTCAATATGCCGGCAAATTGAATGAAATCGAAAGTGTATATTTTGCCTGAAAATTGTAGTGCCACATGCATCCAAATACAATTTACCGACAGAGAATGCAGACAGAAAGTATGATAAAACAAGAATGACTAATTTTCTTTATTTTTGGACAGTATATGTTGATAGATGTGGTTTTGAAAAGAGATCTTCTTTAGGAAAGGAAATTTTTGCATCATTAGAATCCTAATTTTAACTTCCAGAGAAAGATCTTTAGAGTACACAGTACAAAAAACTCAATTTTAAGGAACGTTAAAGAAAAAGAAAAATTATATCAGTTTTAATACTGTTATATTTTATTGTTATTATTTACTTAATTAATTTAAAAATATTTATACTTTTTCACTAAAATATTCATAAAATTTAACGGTTCTTTCCATTATGTTAACAACTCATCTCTTATATAATGATTTTTATTGAGGTTCAATAGTTCTACTGGGTGATTCAAGCCACACTTTCTGAAAGTCAGGTTACTGAAATATGTAACACGTTAATACCAGAAAATGGTGACCATAAAGAGGCATAAGTACAATTTCAAAGCCTGGTAATAAAGTTAAGATAAAATCAAAATACTAACAAAGTGAACAAAAGTTCTTTGACCTAAATCATTATTCAGCCGGTTGGTAGTATGAAAATAGACAGACATGCTCTGAGAGATCAATGAAAATGACTTGTACCCTAATAATCAAATTATAAGTTGGACAAGCCACAAATTCTATTGAAAGATTGATGTTCAGCAGTCACGGACAACTTTTGAGTGGACTTTTTTTTGTTACAATCGTTAAGCAACTCAAATTTTTTGAGGCCAAAATGATCTCTTTAAAGACCACTACTGAACACTTTCATCAAAGGCAGATCTATACACTCAAACAACAATTGATTATAGATTTTCTTAAAAGTAAAATTTTGAAATGGTGACAGTGTTTACAGATCACAAGAAATATAAATAAAATCTGGAATGCAGCGTACATCCTTGGACACTTGGACTTTCAATTATACATATACATATACATTGTCCATGGATGAAGCAAGGTTCATGCATATAACATAAACTATGACTTAGGATTGAACAATAAACTAATAGTGTTTACAAGTATAGAATCGATAAATACAAAATTGCATATGAAATACACTTTGGGTTGGCTGTGAACGATTCGACTATGCAGTTTCACCTTTTTTCAGGGGTTGTTGTTTTAATTGCAGGATGATAGAGCGCATGCGTGAGGTATCTTTGCTGGATCTGCTGGCTTTTGGGTTGAAGTCGCAAAGTTTAGCTATTCTCTCCCATTCAGTGCCAGGTTCGATTTCATCAGACTCGGCGACAAATTGCTTCTCAGCATTTCTGGAAAGGAACATTATACAGATCAGTAAATAGGTTCGCTGAGAATGACACCAAATTATGGGAAAGAGAGCCTGCAATTAATTGGTATACCATCAGTGATCCCAAGCATACGGATTTATCCGTGCCGTGCGGACACTCCCTATTCCTACACGTACAGCGTACGGACAAAAACCTTATGGGAAAACGCTTCCCTATCTTAAAATATCCGTACGCGTGACGTCACAGAAAGACGCAGCAGCCAATAGCAACACGGAGAACGGTAGTGCGTATGGATCTCGCACACGGTGCACCCGGGAACACTGTATACCACTAGAATGATTTTCTAAATGAATTCAGAGGTTATTCTCGAATTTAGATTATTTTTGTGAACACTCATCTTTCATACCTGCTGCTTCGTTTCGATGTAAAAAAGGCAAGGTTTCCTTGAAAAAACCCTCCCTTTTGATCAATTGATATCATTAATCAAGTGACTTATGCAAAAATTACATCTTTCTCTCATGGAACCTGCTAATTTCTTTAAAAAAGGGTAAGTTTCTACTCACAAGAAGATCTGGTATTTTACAATTGTCCCGGTGAAACAAAACATACTCTTATTACAACTCTCGTGATCATTGGTTCACTTATCGGAATAGGCCCTTGATTCATCTAAAATTTTGCTGAACATGACTTCATGGGTGAAAACCATTCGCAAGGAAGAAATATTTCGAAACAAATATGATAAAGATTTCTTGTTATAACTTTGAGTAAGACTATTTTCCTCTTTTAAATTTGGAAATTAATTAAAATTATTTATTTTCATTACAATATAATTTTGGAGAGCCACTACTTTTGGAAACCAAGTTAACACGAACAAACTAAAAATTGCGTTCTAAAAACCACTTTTAGAGGTAGAGCAATGATTGGACGAATTAAACCAGTAACATCTTAAATAGACTTACACTTAATTTTCTCTTGATATTTTATTTTTCAAAAGTAGTTAAGAAAATAAAATATGAGAGAAAATTAGGTAACATGAAGTTGTGCTGAACCAGTTAAAAAAATCTATTATCTCTGAGGAAAATAAAGAAGCGAAAAATATAAAAACGCCATTCAATATAATATTATGATACCGCCCAGTTTAAGGAGAACTTTCAATAGACAACCTTACAGAATTAAGCATACATTCTGTGTTACAGCATGCATTTAACTTACAGTTCAGGCGATGTTTATAATACGATAGCGATCTTGAGGAAAAAGGTACGGTGAACTCTAGTGAGAGTTGATTGCAGCGTATTTTTGGTCGCTGATCACAAATTTTTGGTTTTCCGATAAATTTTCCTTGAAGAATTTCTTCTTTTCTCTATCACTACATTTTCAAAAATACTATACCATTTTGCTGTCTAGATAGTATGTAGCATAGTAGAAGGAGAAAGGGCGGACTTGATGTTTTAGCATTTTCAGCTTTCAACTATCTTAGAGTCCTTGCTGAAAAAGCTAAGCAATTTGAGTGTCCCACAGAAGATCAGCTCTTCTTCTACAGCTTCTTGCAGCTCATTTACAAAGGTAAACACACGTTCAAGAGCTTGCTAAAAACTCGTCTTGCTTTAAAACTGCCTAAACGAATTCTGAATTGGCTCTAAGACGAGTTATTTCACAGTCACAGTAGTGACTAATCACATGTAGTGGGAAATCAAAAATTTGGATCCACACCCTTAAAAACACCTCAAAATACCTTTTAACCTGCTTTTATCTTAAGGAGATTTGTTCCGGGTCCCTGGCAAGGTCAAGCTGGCGGGCGATATATCACATCTGTCCAGTCAAAGATTTCAGCAGATTTTGACATTTTAGCCAAAATAAAGGACGGTAGCTCTGCACGTGAGCGTGAATTGCAAAATTTAGAGAAATGAAAGCAAGATTCTTCTGGGAAAAAAAGTTGCACACGATGCAGTGATTGAACTCGGTATTGAATGCAACGTTTTTTTCTAAGACAAATCCTGCTTTCGTTTCTGTACATATTGCGATTTTTTTTTGTTGAGAATGATTCTTTAGGCTCATGCGCAGGAGCTATCATCCTGTTACGAATTTTCACTTAATCAACGTCAATATATAGTGCGCCAGTTTGACCATGTGAAGAACCTCGGTTGAATCACCTTGAATTTTCTCTCATAAATTCCTTTTTAAATGGACTACTATGCATCCACTAATAACTTGAAAACAATCAACAAAACAAATTACAAAAATCATTTACGAGAAGAACTAAAAACTTATGAGACCAGGTAAAAACAATGGGAACTTGACTACACTACGGTGAGACAAATAGTGAGAAAAATAGAAGGAGAAATACTTTGACTCAAAATTTTTCAGAGGTAAACAAATGAAGAAAAATCATTTTGTTAAAAACTTGACTTACATAGCAGATTCTCTGGTGTAGCATTGAAGAAAATAAAGCAAATTTCATTTAAAATAAAAACAGAATCTTCACGAGTACAAACAGTGGCGTAGCTTGAAATTCTTGANGGGGGGGGGGGGGGGATCAGAGAGCTCTCGAGAGACTGGGGAAAGGGGTCTATCAGTTAAAAATTTCTGAAAACTAGGGCAAATGACCTTCTTGAGGGGAATATTTTGGATCATGGAGGGGGGAAATGGCGATGCTTGACCCTAAAGACTATCTATAGCTACGCCTCTGTGCTTAAAATGTATTAATGATGAAATGAGGAAAAACCATACATCCTTGTGTGAACTTTCAGCCACATTTGCACATAATGCGAAATGATATTAGTGAAATTTTGTGCGATTTATCTTGAACTAATCCTTAGCGTCTCATTCAAAAATATCTAAAACTTCCTATTTGAAAACATAAGGTGAGAGCTGGAATTGAGATACACTCTAAGATGGGCTTACTTCTGGTTTTCTCACCGAATCAGGTTGAATTTAGCATGTTAAATACAATATGAATCAAATTGTTTTGGACATTGAGGATTTTTATATTTTGAAGCTCCTAGGTCAGAAGGAGCGACTTTTAAAAATTCCCCACAACTTTTTCCCCAAAATCTAAAAGGAATCACCCTGAAGAGGGGCAAGAACTCTAGGAGCTATGGAAGTGGTGTGGGACTTTTGGGTCACCCTGTATAATATGAACTTTTACATAGAGTCCCTTTATACCCAGAGTTAAGACAACTCGATTATCAGCTGACTGGCAGTCGGCCTTGGCTGGCCATGGAGGCCGAAACGAGTGCACCCAAACGAACGATATTGAGGGATAAGGATCAGGAATCCTGCGATGTCTGTCACACAAAAACAACAACATCAACAAATTGATCAATTAAAAAGAAAATGAGATTGGTTTTTGAATAATCTTTTAAACTATTTTCATTTTGGACCGATGGAAATAAAAATTTACTCTTGATAAACCACAATTAGGTAATATTTTCATTATTCTTGTTCACACTCGAGGTACCGCCATCTTGGTGCACTCGTTTCGGCCTCCATGAGCGAGAACCAATCAGAATTGGATTTTTTTTTAGGCCACTTTCAGCCCAACCAAAAGTGAGTTGTCTTAACTCTGGGTATAAAGGGACTCTACTTTTACTAAGCTCTTGGCAATGATATTTTGAGTTTTGATTTTAGGTAAGTACTGAAGACAGCACACTCACCGGTTGGCAGCTTTGGTTTTAGCGATTAACTCTTTATGATGTTTATACCACTCCTCCAACTCTTTTTTCGCAGCAATCCTCAGTTCTTCTTTTTTCTTCTCTTCTTCAGCATCTGAAAGAAATGAAAAACTAAAAACGGAGCTTACGCAGTACCACAGAAACCATAAGCTACTGATGTTAGTTTAAATCATACCTGACAGCATTTCAAAGCTTCCCTTCAGATTTTGATTTACTGCCATACTGTCAAACATGTTTTGTAGTAAATATGAGATCCCCCCCCCCAAAAAAAAGAGTTAGAGAAATTGTATGATATGCAAACCCTAGGACAGACCCAGGAATTCTCTATCATCCCGTCATTTGTATATGAATTGCTAGGATTAAAAAGGAACAAAATTTTACGCAAGATTTCATGACACAGCAAACCAAAATAAATGTTTTCTGAAATTCCAGCTGAATATCCCAAGTCTGCAGGGCAAGACGTCTTTCCATTTATTATAGTAATGCTAGAGACCTGGTGGCATATCAACTCTTCTTTAATTCTCCAATTTGAGTTGCCAGGGCGCTGCACACTGACACCGTTGAATGACTTACAGGCTACCTCTAATGCTCTATTTTATCCTGCAAGAGGGAGATACATTTTTTTGCAACTTTTGACAGTGTGAAAAGTAAAAATGCAATAAGTTGAGATAGACTCAGGACTGAAGCACTATAAAAATTATGAAATCTCCGGGTCTTAAAAGGTTATTATTCTTCCTCAGAACAGAGCAAAATTTAAATGGAAGGTTTGGAGGACAAGGCGCATAAGAGCAGTTTTTGAAAAAATTGAGAATCAATGATTTCAAGTGAAACTAGTCTTAGTGCACATTCTGTGGAAGATTCGCTCTCAAATTTCAATTCTTAAGCATCAAAAGGTCAGTTTGAACTTTGTTTCCGCCATAAGGATCCGTGTAATTTTGAAACTTCAAACACATACTTAAAAAAAAAGAAAACACATACTTCTCGAAATAGCAAAAACTGCACCTATGCGCCTTGTCCTCCAAGACTTTCAATTGAGGCACTTGATGCAAAAAGGGCACTTCTCGATTGCGGTGTTTCAGAATCTCTGTTGCCAATTAATCCCTTGGAGAAGACTTAAATGGGTAATTTAATAATTGTAGAATCATAAAGAATATTCAGTAGAATTTTTAGTGAAATGGATGTATTCACTTTCCTTACAATGAATGGAATATTAGTAGAGACTCTGTAACACCACAACCGAGAAATGCCCTTTTTGCATCCAGTGCCTCAATTAACGAACTATTAAAAACAAGCACGAAAGTTAATACCTTTGATTTCTAATCTTTTCTTTTGTTCTTCCCGCCAAATTTTGATTTTTTCTGGTTCTTCACGAGCAACGGCAGGTTTCGTGGGGGGCGGGGTGGAGAATAATCCTGTGAAAAGGGGAAAAGCCATCAAAGCATTAAAACTGAACCATTGAAAAAAAAAAAAAAACTCAACATGTAGACACTTTCTGCACATTCAAACTGATCGATGCTAGAATTTCAATTTTAGTTGTAACATGCCCTAAATTATTCGCCCAACAATGGCACAGCAACGCTTTTTGATTACATTAGAAGCAAAGTTCACTCCCTATTAAAGCAGATGTATGAGATGTATTTATACTACGACACTTTGAAGGATGATCAATTCACCAACGTTCACATTCTTATTCCAAGCGCAAGCCCAAGATATGATGCAGCATAAAATATTTTAAAGTGAGTCTATATTAGCATAGCTTGTTAAATAGCTAATCATATGATGCAAAACAATCCTGTACATAGTATGAGGGCCTACAGAGAACACAGTAAGAATTGGCGGTTGCCAAGGAATATCTACTATGATTTTAGATATTACCGTGCAGAATTACATCTTTACTTGGTGTTTTTGAAATTTAAGCTATTTTTTTGAGCTTTGAAATGACAAAACCTTATTAAGAAGCAACAGAATCCAATGCAAGGTGTCTGGCATAATTTTCTTTCCCTTCTACCTAACTTTCCAAGTTTCCCCTGACTCATGGATTTTACGTCGCTCTGCATTGCTTTGATTCTCCCTGGCATTCTTTTCCAAATCAAAAGTAATGCAAAAGTAAACATAGCTCAACGGAAAGTACTGGTACAGATCAGTGAGGGCTCAAATTTTCCAAGGGAAAAATTCACTACAGATCCGCAAAGAGCGCTGTAGGGCTGAGTAGCGCCGTCAAGTTATGCAAAAAATCACAATCTTGCATGAGAGTTTGCAGTTTGTGGGAGTTACTTCTGCTTGCCCTTTGGCCAGTCAGAGAGACTCTGAGTTGACTTTCCCGATTTTTCTAGTTGCTAGACATTCTGATACAAGTGTAGAGGGGAAAAAAATATGAGAGTTAAAGACATAATGTGAGAAAATGAAGAAATGAGCGTCAAAAAGCAAGCAAAAATAGAGAACAACTTACTCCCTTTGGGACTGATAGATCGAGGAGGTGCTGCGAAAACAGAAGAGAAGTCATTAAACCATTAGAAGGATAAATAGTCAGATGAAATAGAGATGCATGAAAGCTAAGTGAAATACGAGAAAAATAGCATTGGTTAATGTCTAAAATAATTTAAAAAATTAGTCTCATTTTATGAGGCAAATACTCGAAAACTTAGAGGGTTTGAGAAGTCATCCATTAATTACGTAACATTTCATTTACGGCTCCTCAGTAACCATTTATCCCCTGTATTGATCCATAATGCTACGGCCAACACACCACTGCAAATCACCTGCTGCTAATTATGAGTGCCTGTCTCCCATTCCATCCTTAGTTTTCCAAAAATGTCATGCAGAACGGTTAAATTAGTTGAGAAGGTTCAAGCTACTTCAGGAAATGACGAATGTTACAGTCAAGAAACAAAAAATTAAATCGTACAATTTTTCAGGTAATACTCTTTGGAGCAGTTTGTCACTTCCAGTAATGCAAGGTAATGATTGAGGAGACATTCGCCCATCCCTCAAAATGCTACGTAATTTTTGGACATCCCTCAATGTCTGGTTTTATGCTCCTTTCTGATTATTTCAAAAGATAATTTGAAAGAGTAAGATGACTAGTTCATTAAACTAGACTCTAAACTTTGTTAAATAAAAAAAAGTATTGGCCCCCATTTGGTTCACTCTGCATAGGACATATTTTCTATGGAATCGGTCTAAAATTTATGGAGACATACAGTGAGGAGCACGTAAAAAAAAATAGATGATGTAGATGACAAATCATTGGGAAAAATTAAATACTTGTATGTTCATTTCTTGGTGTCACTTTGCTGGCATTGGGTTAGACAGATGTTCTGTAACACTTTTTGGTAAATTTTCTGAACTGAAAATTAGTAGGAATATATTTTTTATGAGTACTTGTTGTGCCAGGATTCCCTACAAAAACTCTAATTTATTAAAAAGATGTTAAAAGCAAAAACTTACTTGTTTTAATATCTGGACTCATTGACCGTAAAGGATCTGCATGCAGATTGAAAACAAATATATCATTAGATTAGAGTAGATTAGATTGAGGCGAAAGGTTATATTGTGAAGAACAGAACGCTAGAATAATTCTTATGGAATTAAATATTGTCATTATTCCCCCGCCCCCCTTTCATTGTGGCATATTTCGGTTGTGCTTCAAACTTATGTGGTGACAGAGACAAGGTATGCAAGATACACAAATGGAAACTTTCCACATCAGTAAAACCTGTCGCAAAATATTGATCCATATTGTTCTGAGGATGGACTCTTAAACTCAAAATATGTGTTGTTCCAAAAATGGACAATATTTGGTATATTGCCACACAAAAGAGAAGGAAAATAACTCATGAAATCAGTAATTACAAAACGCCCGATAATAATGACTTTTCAGAACCGTTGATTGGCACACACGACTCCAACACCTAGGAAACATGACAGCTTTGCTGCAGCTTAGCCTGTGTGTGAAACTTCCTGCCTATTTTTTATCTTTACTTTTTAAATGATGAGCCTATGATGGAGTTCTCGACAAAATTTGTTCAATTATTGTGATAGTTGAAAAAAAAGTACCAAACTGTAGCTTCATTGCCTTTAACACACATTAGCTGTCAAGATTGCTGAGTTGATAAAAGACATAAATCAAAACAAGTTCATAACATTTAAATCCAATCTTTTGTTCATGATATAAGGCATATGTCAAGATTCTGCCTCTATTCTATCACAATTGTGTGGATTTAAGCCTTTAATTTGGTGAAGAATGCTTCCACCTCGCTACGCCCTTAGATACATCATTCCTGGACGTTAGGTGCATTATATTTTTGACATCATCCTCCAGGCAGATCATTGAAATTGCTAGACAAAGATGACAAAAGGGATACGGAGGGATCCTATTGGTGGAAGCTGGTGGTTGCAATGGACAAAGAGCGTGGGTGATCGACTAACAAACGGCAACCTACAAAAGACCTTATAGTTAGTCTATCATTATCTCCTTCAGTGTACAGGAACCATCCATTTTTACCAATAGGATCGCTCAATACTCTGTATGTCTTCCTTATCCATCAATTTCAACAATCAGCCTGCTGAACTTCTGTTCCCCTGGACGCTCCTGACTTTATTGAGCTATTATTGAGATATTAGCCACAGAGTATGAAAACGGTGAAACTCCAAAACCATACATCTCTTTTGCAGTGATTTATAACATCTCTGCTTCCATTTCATTTTTTTGAAGGAGAGCAAACCAACATCACTTTATGAAGTATTCGCAAAATTTGCTTCGCACAGAGGAAAAAAATCACGGATGTTTCGAAAAATTGAAAATGAGTGGGTAATTTTCAATTTAAACAATCAAGTATGACGGGAGGTTCACAACCTTGCAAACTGAAATATGTGGTTTGACAGCTCCGCCATCGATAGTGAAAAACCAACTTACGTCTTACTTAAGTTTTGTTAAAATTAGACCCAGACAAAATAAAGACTACAACAGATGCAAATGAAGTTAAGAGAGAAAAAAAAGCAGATGCAAAAGCTAGCCAGTTGTGAGAAATGAGTAAGCAAGTGAGGAGGTGGTCAGTACGTTTGACAAACAAGTATAGACTCAGTTTTCTTGAAGAAGTAGTAGTGATAAAACAATTATCTGAAACTTTGAGGAGCAGTAAATTTTACGATGAGATCATCTAATCTATATTCCAACTATTTTTTGGTCAATCATGAAACATTGGAGCTTTCAGATTTGAGAGAAGGGAAAATCTTACTCCATAAATCAGATATGAGGGTTTGGTCAAAAAAAAAAAAAAAAAACAGTTGGTATAATCGATCAGAGTGCATATTTTTTGATATGTTTTTTCTTTAAAATATTTGTTTCAAATATTCGTATCATGAGTCAATACTTGATGAGATATTAGCGGTACGTGAGCATGCCACATGCATGCTTTGTTTTGATTAATCCATGCTACGCAGGGATCATAGTTTATGTACTATGTTAGATCCCCTTAGACTACTCAGTGGCAAAATCTCTCATTTTACTGGCAAGCGCACGGTGACAATCGAAGTCTTCAAAGAATTGGTGAACTATGCAAGTAAGCAAAGAGTGCCAATTTTAAAAATACAAGTACTCCGAAGAGATCAAAAAACGTAATTTTCAGTCTCAACGTTAATTGTATAAATTCAGTTGTGGCTTATTGAAGAGATTATATCCTTGCTGACTGCTCATCACTTCGCTTGCCAAAATCATATGTTAAAGTTTTTACATACTTTTCCGAGGTGTGCCAAACACAAGCCACGTGGCACTGAGGGGCAATCAAGTAAAAAATACCAGGCACGCAAAATGCTACCTGACGATGAAAAAACTGAGTATGATTCTAATGATCAATTTGGATCTTAGTAAATTATGAGACAATGACTTCCTGTTTCATAATGAATTCGTAATTTTCTTTGCAATTTTGCAGTAATGCAAGTGCCTACAACTATTTTTCTGACTCATGTTCAAGAGGTTCTGCCTTGCAGTTGCCGAGTCAAATCTGCAACTATCTGTAATTGGGAAGAATCTTGTACAATAGTAGTAATGAGCAGTGTGTTCCTAAACGAAACAAATTTTTTGTTTATTAAGATTAGAAACTTCATACATCTTTGGTAGGATATGAGGATAAGCTTACCATCTTTGAAGCAGTGCCTGGATATACAGAAACTATTTATTCAAACTAGTTGTCCAATTTTCAAAACCTCTTATATCCCTTACTTTTATAGAAAATTACTACCATTTTTCTCCTCCTAAATACATAAAAATGCCCACGTTTTTGTGGAAATTATTCAATTTACACGCAGAAGTGAGCTGGCCTTTCAATTTTTAAATCCTCTTTGCAACCTTCCAATTATGGTTCCCTAAAAATTTGTTTTTGTAGCCTTTTCATTTTTGCTTGCGGCATGCCACTTGCATAGTCAAAAGGTCTCTGTACGCCTGGACTATGTTTGAAATGGTATATCTGTCATTTTTACACACCAAGCCTTACATCTTGTTCTTGATAATCAACTAGATTTATGTACATGTTTCTTTTCTTCTTTAACAGATTGTATCACAGGATTGTATTTGTACTCACATTTCTTTTTCGCCCGATGTGAATTTTTTTTTGATTGTCAAACTTAAAATACTATGGCCAGCTTCGCGGCGCGCTTCCGGAGATAGTGCACTAATGTTTTAGCTTCCATTTTCGTTTTTATTTTCGTTCTACGTTTTACTTTGTAATTCACCTGATGATGGTTGATACAGCCGAAATGGCCATAATGTTTTAAGTTTGACAACCGAAGAAAAAATTCACATGGGGCGAAAAAGAAATGTGAGAACCAACTAGATTTAGCATATAATTTTTTCTTTTTTTTTATCTTACCCTCATCATTTGGTGGATTTTGAGGCCTTTCAGTCTCTGCAGGTTCTTCAGGCGTGGAATCATCTGGACAAAATATTTAGGCAATGCATAAAAAGCATACAAATAATGCAAAGAAAAAAAAACACAACAAAACGGAACAAAACAAAAGATGGAACTGAAGAAAAACAAAGAAACTATGTTCATGCATGCTTCTTCAGAATATAGGGTCAAAATAAAACAATGCTAAATTAAAATGAAATGAATGAAATTTCCGCTTGAGGAAAATCAGAGTACTATATTCTGATTTTCATTATTCTTAAGAGCTTGAGAGAAATCTTTCTCCTTTTCTGTCATTATCACTACCAATGGTGGCTCTTCTAATCTTTTGGGTTAAATGTTTTTTATGCAGATGTGTGTAGTAATGGACGGTAATGAGCTGTTGTTATTATCGGCTGTTCAGATAATGTGGTCCATGGTGATTTCCTCGAGGAATCAGGAAAAAATTGGACGTTTTTTGGGTAGTATTCATAGTTGTCCCTTACACAGCTCCTCTCTTTAGGAAGCCCCATATAAACGGTGAAACTACCAGACCATGTATCTCGGTTTGCGACGTTGCAGACTTCCTGTCCTACTTTGTTTTTTAAATGGAAAACTGCTCTAAGTCAATCCTTAAACTTTAGTGATTTTTCTTCTCTGTGTAAAGAAAACTCCATGAAAATTTTTAGAAATGATATTGATTAGTTCTCCTTCAAAAAGATAAAATGGGAGTGGAGATTTTTAAACACCGTAAATGAGATAAGTGGTCTGGTAGTTTCATCATGAATACATTTACACTGTTATTAAAGGAGGAAATCCTAAACATTGCATCACAAAATGGATGGTTTTAAAGAATCTGACAGTGAAATCGAACAATGTAGTTTCGGAAAAAAACCCTTGGAAGGGATTACAATGACTTGCCTCTACAAAAAATAAAAATTCTAAAGAACAAAGTTTGCAAGTTCTGAACATCTTCTGATTCTGGAACACTTGTCTTCTGATTCTGAACACTTATGTGCATTGGGTAACTAATGGCACATACGTTGTTTCTAAACTGAGCCAGACATTGTGGTTCCTAATTACAAAATGCAGTCTATTTCTCCTTAACATTATCTAGTTTAGAACAACTACAGCTATAGCAAGTGTATATTGTCTCCTTCCTCTTGGTTGTATTGATAGAGACCTATTCAGGGAATCTCTCGGGATTAAATTAAATCCAGAAACACACATTTATTCTTGTTATTAAACAGCTTCCAAGATTGGGTGTCTCTCAGAGCTAAAATTGGACATTTCAGAACTAGTTAGTCTTGAGAAGATGAAAACCTGATTGAGATGATGCGTAACTTCAAGGAAATTAAGGGTAAGATCATGGAAGGACAACACAAGAGAGCTTTTTAAACCTATAAATGCATGATCTCACATGCAGGGAGATATGTTCTGAATATTCAAGGTTTACAGCAACAAAAGTACGAACCAATTGTACTAATTCCATTGACTACTTGGGCACTTGCGGGTACATTTGCTGGTTTAATTTCATCTTCCAGGCCTGCTAATTGATCTTGTTCTCTGGCTAAAAATTCTGCCGCAGGGTCTACATCATTCTCCTCAAAATTGTCTCCAAAGACATCCATAGTTTGTGACGCTATAATTAAAAAAGAAAAGAATGACTTCAAGAGTTCAAAAAAGAGAGGCAAAGAGCTACTAATTCTTTTCAAAAGAAGGAAATTGATTTTGGTCCAAGTTTTTCAAGTTTGGATTAACCGCATGTCTGCTTTCTCTACAAAATTGACTAAGACTGATAATTATGGGGAACCAATTATTAAAATAATCTTTGGGGTAAGAGCCAAGGTAAGTGAAATGAAAGTGTGCTATTTCAATAGAGACCACCCAAAATTGGACGTATTTCTGCCAAACAGAACTATGTACATTAAGAGTTTAGCCCTGAGATCCATAAGAATATATGCATACTTAACAGGGCTCACATCATAATGCACATAGTTCCGTTTGGCAGAAATACGCCAATTAACAAATCCCGTGATCAAGTTGCTTTCATTAAGGCCTTGGCAATGAGTTTGCGCAGGGGGAAAAAACGACATTCAAGAATTGACTTTTGCAAAATTGGAACCCTGTTTCGAACTTCCACCCAAGACTGGAACGAAACCAATGCAACTGAGTGTTTTGCCGATTTTAGGTGCTTAAATACGGGGTTTGAAAGGTAAGAATACCCAACATAGCTCCTATGTGCCTGGTTTGTAGATGCATTTTCAGTAGAGGCGTCGTCAGCTAAGTTGACGGTTATTTACTTTCGGTTCGCAAGCGTTTTCTCATCACTACTATCCACATGAAAACATCAGACTCTCTTAGAAGCAAAAAAACAAGCTTAGATAAGTTTTTTAATACTTTTAAACCTTGTAACACCATAATTTTTAGACACACAGAAATCATAACCACATAAAAGTCGTGAATCATAACTGATAAGTAGTTTTTTACGATACGATCATGAGGCGGATGTTTTCAAGGTGGATAGTAGCGAATGCTGCTTTAAGCAGAGGCCCAAATTCGTCGTTGGTGCTTGCAAACCAAAAGTAAACAACTGTCAACTTAGCTGACGACATCTCTACTCATCAAGTATGTACGATTAGATAAATTAATCAATGTTAAAAGGGGAGCATTTGAGATGCATACGTACATTAAAGTGGAAAGCGATATTTCCATGATACTTACAGGGAGAGTTTCGTATTTAAATAGTTTTAACATTTACCAGATTACAGCTGACATAAAAAGTCTATTCCAACAAGCTGAGAAGCCTCCCCCTATCTCTATGTAATAGTAAAGTGAAGAAACCAAGACAGAATGAAGCTGTAAGAAAAATAATGCCTGAGAGGCAGAGAGAACTAGCGGTAATTTCAGCTAAATAGGGATTTAACTGGATACTAGGCAAGAGTACCTTCAGGATATTTGAAGGTTGAAAATTCAAGACACGGTTAGATCAGTGGTACCTCCCCTTTCACGCCTAAGCGATGAGGCCATTAATTAGACCTTAATGAATGATTACTTGCAAATAAATGTTACATGAAGTGTCTTGATAAGTAAAAGATGTGGTAGATGTGGTGACCTGCTAGCCGAGGATATATTATGTGCTCTTTGCTTTACAACATGCCTGACGATCTAAATCTACTCTCGACGCACTGCATTGATTTAGATACTTATGTTCATAGCAGAGGATGAAGTGGTGCATTTGCTAGAAAGGAGGAATGCCAGAGAATACTCTCAGTGGCGCTCAGCTAGATAAATTGAGAGTAAAGTCGAAATCAGTGCGTAGAAATATGGAATTAGACTAAATTCCTGAAATGAGGTTAGGTGTAGAAATTCATATTGATTTGTGAAGAAAATTAAAAATAATCAGGGATTGTTACTACGACTAATATAAAGTAAGAAACTTACGTGGATTTAGGGCTTGAAAATATTAGTAGTGATTTTGATTCAGAGTATATGTTTGAAATTAAAAGATGTTTTCGCTGCTTGCTGGCTCTTATCAGTGCGGTAGGTGTCAATCTGTCAATCGTGAGTCGTGACGTAGGCTCACCATAGAGTGAAGGAGATGATGAAACGGATGTGGCGTCAAAGATCGCACCACCTTCTCATTCGACCGTGGTCTGCTAACCAATCAAAACTTTCAGGCAGAGGAAACAAGTGCTCAGTATTGGTTGACCGTGCTCCGATTGGGCTCTTGGTCATGTCATCAAATGGCAAGTCTCTTGTCTCTGCGCAAGTGTCATAGGCAAGTGTTCAAAGTAAACAAACGTTATCAACACCGCCAATCGCCCACATCACATGCGGATATGGCAGCCCGATCTAAGGAAAGTATTCTTGATGATCCATTGTATTACTTAGATTTCGTTCAAAAATTCGTGCAGATCAAGACTTTAAGCGACAAAGTATATCAAGGAACCGTTGTCACTGTGGATCCTAAATCAGACAAGTAAGTCAAGTGACCGTTCTAAAATTCTTCGTGGCACCATGGATTGAATCAGGCGAATAAGCCCACAGTGGCCACCTTTCTGAATTTTGAATTTTCTGGCGTGGAATTTCCTTGCAGAGAATTTGTATTTGAAATTTGTGTAGGCAATGATAGGTTTTATTTCTTAGTTTTTGATTTCTGGGGGAAGGGGTCGGTAAAATCATACCCAAATCTCTCAAGAAGAACGCATGATAATGGATGATGTTCTATTTCCTTTTGGAGCTTACACATGGTGCAATCACTATGCAGATTTGTCTAACTGCTCAAGGTACACTCTACTACAGGTATGGACAAACGGAATTTTAGAAAGTCGTCAAAATGCGTAGATTTGACAGCATCGAGAGTACGACTGCGAAAACCTACGCGGCAAATGGACGGTACGACTTCATACGTCACTCGATCGCCCATTTTCTCAGCGCTGCCACTTCGGCACCCCGTTTGTCCATACCTGTAGTAGAGTGTACCTTGCTAACTGCTGTAGATTTAAGGGCATGAGTTGCAGTCAACTTTCTTTCAAGCTAATACAAAATATTCGACGTCTGGGGCGGGTGTAGACTGTAACTCAGGGAGCATTGTTCTAAGGCTCAAGTAAACTTTTCTTAATGTTCAGACGAAAGGTCTTTATATCTGTTTAGTTAAATTCCTTCAGGAATCATGCTACGCAAATTTCTTGGTCTCATTCGAATGCATTTTAAAGAATATTGAAAATGTCCCGACATGTAAATTATGACGATTCTTGAGATAGTGTCAAATGAGAATTTTTCCTCTTTGCTATCTGTAGGAAGTACTGTAGACAAGAATTATTTCTCCTTTCTCTGACTCATTTTCACTCTTTACTTTGCCTCTTTTTCAGTGTTGTCCTCGTCAGTCACTCAGATGGAAAACCCTGCATTGATATCATAATGGGGCATTCAGTACAGTCGATTCAGATCTGCAGTCAGGCATCTGGATCTTCTCTCCAATGGAGCCTTGGCGAGAACCTACTCAAGTGTTTAGAAGACTCAGATGAATCAGCAGTAAGCGTTGAAGAATTATCGGCCCGAAAACAGCGGTTGAAAGTTTGGCTATCGAAGAACTTGATCACTGTAACAGAGGAGGGTAATTTGTTAAAATTAGACGATGTTCTTGTCATTCATCCTCCATACGGGGTGAAGCAATGTACTAGTAGTAATCAAATTATTTTAGGTAAAGTCCAAACCTTGGTTCAAAAATTATATTCTCAGTCTCCATCTTAGAAACTTTTATTATGAATTGCAACGTCTCATGATTTGCGTTTTGGTAAAGTTGCAATTACAAGGGTTGTCCCCCCCTCCCCTCCCCATCCTCAAGGGGTTGAAACCCTTAACATACTGACTGCCACGGTATTTCTGTCTTTTTTTTCTTTGCTGGTGCTTGTGTGTTATTCAGAATTTTTTCAGTCAAAAACATGCAACAGAATAACTTCTGTAGTGCACTCAACAAAGGACACTAAGCTGAGCACATAAACATTCCAACACGCATTGATCTGATGTCCAGCGGCCGCATGAGCCACCATTCTTTCCAAAAGATTGACTGTCTGGCCCTTGTGCTGCTAGTGGCACCAAGAGGAAATTTCTTGTTGGACATGAGCTCAGCATGGCAGTATGGCATCATGTTGGAAAAAAGGAATTTTTATTTTTAATTTTTTACATATTCATGAACAACAAAGTTACTTTTGAAAGTAGGTATAATATCTTCAAAATATCCATGATAAATATTATTTTTTGCCCTTATCCTCTTTCTCCAAATTCAACAAATATTCAGCAATTCGCTCTCACGCATATTCAACAATAAAAATATTCACTTATACAGCGCAAATTTGCCCCTCTCGCCTTTCATACAGAAGCCTCGTTGGCTCGGTAGGTAGTGCATTCAATTCCTGATAGGCAGCACGTTCAATTTCCGAAAGGTAGATAATAATTTGAAAGTTGATCTCTAGAAAAATTAATTGACGACAGATCCAGATATGTTTAAAGTCTATTTTTTTCTTTACAATTTATCATTCCAATCAATTTTAGGAAGCAGGGATTTTTTTGCACATAACTTTTTACGTAAAGAAACTCGATCTTTTTACGTAAAAAACCTCGTACTCTTCATGAATTTTTCCTGTAAAAAAGACAACATCAGCATTTCACTTTTGGTCTGTTTTATGCCTTTTTTTTTACAATTTTTTTTTTGTAAATTTTACATCTTTATGCTGCTAGGGTATCTTTCCCCCGAGGCTACAGGAATTTGTGATAGCCATTAAAAAGTTTTCTGATATCAAAGATGTTAACTAGAATAATCCATTAATCAAATTAGTACTTATGCTTATAATGAGGGTACATCCTAGGTGTAAAAAATGGATAAAAATTACCAGAGCAATGCAATGGTCTCTTGTTCAATAAATGATGAGGGATATAAATGATTCTGAAACCTGCAGGTCTAAATCAAACGAGGGTAAAATTAACAGATGCAAGTAAAATAACTAAAAATAAATATTATTCATAGAATTGAAAACATTCATACATATACAAAAATAGATAACCAAGATAATACATAGTAATCTGAAAGGATGGGTGTAGGTCAAGAGTAAAAGTACACTAGACACAAAAAGTTAGGTGATATTTTGATCGCACGTATATATTACAAAAAATACTTCTCAGAGTTATTTGCACAAACAATTCTAATTCATCATAAATATTACTGCTATTAAATGAAATGAGATGATAATCTGATTTTAGGTATAAAATTGTAATGCAACGAGAGGCTGAGTCGCTACGTTTTTATTCTACTTTACATTCATCATACATTCCCCATCCAATTGCTTCTTAAGTGCTTAAGTTATAACTAAAATAAGTAGAGTAAACAGCACCAATACGTTTTGAATTTTTAAGTTTTACAGTCATCTCACTACTCTGCACATCAGTTTAGATCCAAAAGGGGAAAACAGATTTAGTGGCTACGTCATTCAATTTTCCCACCCAATGCAATTAGACTGTTTCAATGTAGTTTATTTGCCATAATTTTCAAGAGCAGCACTGTGAACAGCAATACATTCAGTGATGTAACCACTAAGTCAGTCTATTTATTGATCAAAGAAAAGAAAAGAGGAAAGGATAGAATCATCATTAGAAAGAACATAAGTGAAATCGCTGGATTTGATTTAATTAATAATAAATATCCTTTCCTCTGAAATTACCCTTGTGGCTAAGAATCTATTTAAAATATTGTTTATCGATGATGATGTTGTGAAGTGTAAATCTTACGTTGCAACAGTGTAAATTTACAGTGTTATATTTGCTTTTAAAAAAAAAAATAAAATAAAAGATTTACTTCGCATGTGTTTGCTATTTTTTTATTTTTTTCATTACAGAATTTTCCAAGAAAATTGCATGTGAAAATTATGATTTCTTTTTATCAGAAAAAATATAATAAGTGGAAAAATTCGAGAACATCACAATTTCGTTTTATCATTAGTCTAAGTGCCTAAATTGATATTCATTTCAGTAGAATTTCTTTGAAACATTAGATTTTGGCCGATGAGGATAGAGCTAGCAGTTATCGCCACCTACTTTTTCCTCACAAAAGAAAACTGTCTTGGTTTCTTAAATTAATAATTACACTAACAACCTAATTCTATTACAAGATTGGGGTATTTAAATCTGGGACAAATAGTCCAAAATTATTTTGCCTCAACCTTGCAAAAGTAAGAGGCAATGGTGGGGATTTCCAAACAGAATTTCAGGGAAAAAAGCATTGCAATGAAAATAAAATTTGCTTTTCAAGACTGTAATGCTCATTAATATGATATCAGTGACTAGTTGAAATGATGGTTCTTCAGCACTACGGAAAGCGATTCGATGGTCGATCTATCACTTAATAATTTCTGGATTTCATGAAATTTCTGGAAAATTGCAGAGCGTTGCATCCTAATGTAGTAAATCGGGTATTAGTGTACAAAATTTGACTCAGAGACACTTAAATATTAACTCCGATTTACAGTCCGAGTGCATATCGCAATATCCTTCTGCCTTTCGAACATAAAATCAAGAAATTATCATCTGATTGATTGAGTATTGAATCGTTCTCAGAATAACTGAAGAGCCATTTTAAGACTAGGATGCAATGACTACACATATAATTCAAATTTACAGTTTGGACAGTATGTTTCCTTGATTAGATGAGGAGGGTTCATAATAGAGTCACGAACACACCCACTGTGTTGTTTGCTTGTGTGCATGCGTGTTGTAGGAACCTGGAACCCCTTCTATTCTGCCATTCTGCTAACTGTAGCAATCGATTCGAGGAGTTTGGACAGTTCATGTACAACCTGTGTATCTTTCATTTAAAAAAAAAAAAAGCTCTAATTTTGCAGGGTCTTGGTGTAATGGAACCCTTTTCAAGCTTCCACTTCCTTATAAAAATGTCTACATAATGCTAAATCAGTTTTTGGAAGTAAAAACTTTTGATTATTGAGGATATATTTGAAGAAAAAAGATGATAGTTGTAATTGACTGAAGTTACTGTAAGAATTTCCTTCGCTAATTCGGGTTAGGAACCTCTTCAAATGTTTGGCCCCGCATGAGATTTTAAATTCAAGGTTTGCACAACTCCTTCGATAAAGATATCTTGTGCAAAATTATTTCACTCCAGTGTTGTTTCGTTTAATTAAAAAAATGGCATTTTCCCTGAATTTCTCCTTAGGGGTATTCATTAAGAAAAAGGATTCAAGAATGATGGTCACCTTGATTAAGGCACATTGAAGAAATAGTGTTCCTGCACAAAAATTGAGAGAAGGATGACTGGGCATTAAACGAAATTATTTGATTTGTACCTTGTTACATTTGTTATGGAGTATAAAAATACTTCTTCCCATATGAAATAGTATTAGGTGCTAAAAATAGAGATTTCAAGGAAAGTACAGGGATTCTCCCAAATTCAATTTGCGGAGAGCCAAAATTGATACTTTAATCATACGCTCTCTAGGTTATATAAAGTTGGCCTGTGTTCAAAATAGTCTCAAAAATTACAATTTTTAAACGGACTTTTTACCTCTTTCATGTCACAAAATGTATTTATCTAGGTGCCAATTAACTATCTGATGAAACTTGATACGACTCGATGTCTTCACGCTTTTTTGCTGGATCATAGATAAGAGCAGGAGCTGACCCTAATGATTTCCAAAAGACTTTGCAAAACTGAGAGGTTTTACATGGTGATTTTGAGCTGAAATTTCAAATATGTTGTCAACAAATGCAGTTGAGCCTGGCATTCAGTAATTACGAGTAAGTGGTTCACGATTAAGTAAGTTCTTTCAGCCTTTTGAAGTATGGTAATGCTAGAATATTCTTTTTAAATGATAAACTTAACAGTTTAGTCTAGAGCTAAGTGCCATTAAAGATCAATTCCTTTTCGTTATGATTTGATCATCTTTCAGTGCGACCAAATAGTGTGCATTGTTCATTTTTCATATTCAAAAGGAAAATACAGGAGTTACCTGTTAAAAATAGAGGAGCAAAAATTTGATGAAAAGCTGGTTGGAAATGTTTTCTTTAAATGTACTTGCAATTCTAGAAACTTTAATTTTAGGAGGCAGAGAGGCCTGCATCAAAGAGAATTAAAAATTAACAACTCAAATATTCGACAGAAAAGTATACCGTTAGGTTCAATTTATAGACGAAATAATAATAAAAAAAGAGAGATAGAGAGAGAGAGAGAAAGAAAAAAAATAACAAATTAAAGTATAAAACATAAATCACAGATAAATTAAGTTGGACGACTAGCTAAAATTACCGGTTTTGTGTGGTGAAATGTCACTCTTCAGAGGTAAATGAGGAGAGCAGAACGTTTTGCAAATAGGTAATGGACAGGTTAATTTAGCTTCAAAGTTTGATTTTACTAAAAAAGTAGTAATATTTTTCCAAGAGACTATATTCTTGCTTTAAGATGCACTCTCATGATAGGTTCTGATGAACTGAGAGGGGCACATCAATTGGGTTTGAACATCTTTTTGAAGCTCTGAGCAAATTTTAGAGGGTTCACAATGATCATTGTTCTTACATCCAACAAGGACGACATTTGAAAATCAGCCATGGAGCTTGTGAGTAAAATCAATTTTGCTAAAATCGCCTGTTATTCTCCATCTCCTATCCCAAAAACTGCTACATGGTATTCATAAGTATTAAATTTTATTTGCACATAAAATGCCTTCAATCTTACAGTGAGCGATTGATCTTGCACTCAGGTGTGAGAGCCCTCCCTATTATCATAACTCACTTGTACCTTTCTGAAAACATTGGATCAAGTGGTGTATAAGACTTCCACCAAGAGAGAGAGGAGAACATACAACTTTTTTCCTGCCAATGGCTACATATTTAAGAACAAAAGTGTCATGAGTGAACGATGTAATTCCACAAAACAATGGTGAACATTATGGCACTTAAAACAGGTAAAAATTCTATTTTAAAAGTCATGGTAACCTGGAAAATGGAGGAAAAGAACTTTTTTGACAGACACACATATGCTATTATAAGAATTACAGCAGCATTTGCCTCATTTAAATATTGCAATAAGTGAAGCTTCTTCGATAGGTACATGGAAAATTAAATAATTCATTTTTTTTTGCGATGAGCGAGGATAACGATGATTTTTTAACAGCGTATTGATTTAAACTGCTCACTGGGAAATTTTGGAGTTTAAGATTTTACCAGGCAAGTTAAAAAGTGGTCCACTGGAATTTAAGCTTGGGAAACAAAATAAGCTCTATTTTAGAGGAACTTAATTCAATTTGCTCTTTGAGCACTGTTCAGGAAAAACAAATTATGCTGGATCAGAGAAATTCACCACTTAAGTGCATAGGGTGAAATAATACCATGAAATTACAAGTGATATTAAAAATCTTTGGTACAGTTAATATGTACACTGAATTTTGGGCAGATTAAGGTCTTTATAATACACTGGGTTTAAAATATGATAAATGCATGTATACATTGGGTTTTCCACACATATGGAGAATGGTATCTGCCTGAGACAATATCACTATTTGCCCTGACAAATATTATTCTTGTTTGGCTTAGGAAAACATAAATAGAGACAAAACAACAAACGGTAACAGGAAAAAAAAACAATAACCAGATACACTGAATCACTTAAGAAATTGGATTAAGGCAAGATTGAGGAGAGACACATTGAGGGTATGGAGCTGCCAGGCTAAGGAAAAACGCCAAACGAAATTTTAAATATGGCAGCGACTCCCAAAATTTCTTGCGACAAAATATGTATTTACTGAAGTGAAAAGTTATGAAAATTTTTCCTTGAAAAGGGATAATACACAGAATCACATGAGAAATGGCCGGAAAGATTTTAAGAGAAAAATTCACTTGTAGTACAAACAAATTGTAATTTACTTGAGGAAATTTGGCAATGCCCAAATGATCATGCGAAGTTCTTCCTTAGTACAGCAGAGAGGGACAAATAAATTAGCATGATTTTCTGGGTAGAGCTTTTGCACTGGTATCAGGTTAACAGTAACAATCGTGTGCAATTCCTTCAGAAAAAAACAACAAAGAAATAAACTGCAGATAGCTGAAAAAGCTCAGATAATAATTTAAAAAAATTAGCCAAAAACTCTTTCTACTGGATATTTTTGAGAACAAAAAAAGTGCAAAGGCTCTACTTTTAAATAAAAAATACAAAGGTCCCTGAAATTAAAAGTGATACAGCCTAAATTATAACCAACATTATTACTATTGAACTATTTGACAAGAGCTAACATTAGTGCAAAAGGAATCGAAGTTGATGACAAAAAAACATATTACAGCTGATCAAATAAAAACATTAAGAACAAATTTCAAAACAAGAAACAAAACAGAAAATCTATGAGCTGGATTATATGAAAATAATTGTAGGATTCTACATGTATAACAAGTTTGACACATGAAAAAAGAGGGGGGGGGGTTACTTGACAATAAATTATGCTTTTGATTAGAAATCTAAAATACTATCTAGTAGTTAATACTCTCTTTTCTTCAATCAAATCATTAATTCGATCTTTGACATTTTCGCAGATGGAAATCAACGACAAGATTAATTGAATACATTCGGAGATCACTATATTGATCAATGATTAATACCATTCTTTGACAACCGTAAGTCAGGCTTCTAATACTTGGAAAACTAATAGCTTGCACATGATATGTTGGGACAAACCTAGGTGGCTGATTAAATTCCGGCAACTTTCAAAAATATTTTCGTATGATAAGTATTCTGCCGGACTAAAGAAAAACACTGTTCGACCTTTACGATACTGCCAAATTCCCCTGATAAAACATTAATTTTTGAAAAAAGTGGTAAATAACTCTCATTTAAATTTTCAGATACGAATTTAAGACAAACTTCCTGAAAAATTGGAAGAAAAATATTCACAAGTTTTTTATTTTTCTAAAAATTTGTGTTTGATCAGGGGAAATTTGGCAATGTTCAAAGGATCATAAGGCTTTCTCCCTCAGCACAACAGCATTTAATACAGGTTTAGAGATATATATTACACTTGCAAAACATTTACTTACAACACACATCCAAAGATACATGATGTCTGTCCAAACATACAATACGCAAGCATAAGGACACCATTGATGGAGTTTATAGATAAACTGGTCTCACACATTAAAGGAACTACTTACATAGATATTTTTTTAAACATAACATATCCCCTGAGGAAATCAATCGTATGTCTAACTTTTCCGTAAGAGAAAGAAGAGGGGGAAAAACCAATGCAGATGGTTACGTTTTGTGTGAATCCATTCGACTAGGAGGATCATTAAAGAATAAACAATAACTTACAAGTAGTTAAATCTCTCTTGGAATCATTTTCAGAGAGAAATGAAAAAAACATTGTGGGAAAGCATTTAACTGGTTGGAGAGATATCATCTGTTTTGAAGCTCATCTCCATTTTCATCACATCGCCTTTCTTACAAAGATTATTACCATAGCTGTTTCCTCGAGGGAGTCTCTTGCCGAAGTGTCTTTCTACCCATTTTAACATGGTCAAAACAGAGTCCGTACTTGGCAAACGCCTTTCTGCAACGGTGCGGATGATCTGAGATTGCGTTACTCTGAAGGTAGCAGCCATTCCTTTCAATGCCTGTGAAAAAAATTAAATTAGGATTGAACAAGGCCGATGATCATGACTGGGTTACTACAGAATTCAAAAAATGAAATTTCCTGACATTTCTTTGATTTATGCGTCACATTTTGGTGCAACTCCCTGACAACTGAAAACAAGTCAGATGGTTAAAATGACAGAATTTGGAACAGTTTTCATACAAAATCTGTTGTTCTAACTTATTCTAGAAAGCAAATAAGGGTGACTTGACGATTTTTCCCTGACACTTCCATCATTTTCCTTGACATTTCCAGGTTTTCCCTGACTTTTTAAAATTTCCTGACATTTCCTGATATTCCTGGTTTGTGGCATACCTGTATTTTGGTGAATGAACTTTGTACGTGGGCGTCAAGAGGTGATTACTAGAGAGAAGCCATTCTTTGTTGGGAGAGGATGCTCAAAATGTCTCATGTATGCAATAGCTCCTTAAATAATAGTTGACAGCAAAAAAACTTCCTTTTATAAAACATACTTTTTTTCTTACTCAACTGCTAGTGTCACATAAAAAAAGTAACTTAGTTATTCGTTTTTATTCGATGAACTATGTCAAATTGTAGAGGCCACTTCAGGTTCTATGTAATGTTACTGATCTGGGATGACTTCTAATGGGCCTGTTGCAAACTTTTGCTAGAGCAAAAATAAGAGTTGTTTCTTGTAGATAATGCCTCAAAAATCACGATGAGCGCATCGGCAAAGTCTGAAATGCACTCATAACTTCACAATCTGCGTAAGAAATTTGCGTTTTTTTAAGCTTCCCGCTTCAAAAACGATACTACGGCACAGGTGAACATTTTGTTAGAGGAGTCGCTCCATCGTCGGCGACATTCATCATGGCCGACGCTTGCTCGCAGTTCCGTGCGTGATTCGAGGAGAGTTCAAGGTCAATCAATTCGGGCAAGGAAAATATGAACGTTAACACACCGATTGTCATCCGGTCTAATCCAGTTCAGGTGTTATATCTCGTCCCATCAAACGTGTTTCGGCGGATTGGCGTTGGCCATGATGATTATTGCCGACGATGGAGCGACTCCTCTTACAAAATGTTCACCTGTGTCGTAGTATCGTTTTTGAAGCGGGAAGCTCAAAAAACCGCAAATTTCTTACGCAGACTGTGAAGTTATGAGTGCATTTCAGACTTTGCCGATGCGCTCATCGTGATTTTTGAGGCATTATCTATAAGAAACAACTCTTATTTTTGCTCTAGCAAAAGTTTGCAACAGGCCCATTATCAAATACAGCTTTGCCAAGGTCTTCACTTGAATTGAAGCTTAAAAGACACAGATTTTCAAACTAAACTGATAAGTAGAAAGTAAAGTAAAAACTTGGGCAATACCGTCTTGGCGATTTATGAGGGACTTGACCAAAGAAATAGATCAACTCTTTAGCTTTACAAAAATGTCTAACAGCCAATTAAATAGAATATTTGCACCTCTTCTATGATTTGATAAAGAGTTATGAAAAAAAAATACTTACTTCCATGGCGTCTTCATCTGTGGTGTCATCACCTGCATAGATGATTCGGATGCGTTCCGACCAATCTAGACCAAAAGCTGTTCGTAGAATATATATACTGGCTCTTCCTTTGTTCCATTGCACAGGCGGCTTTGCTTCGATTGCGCAATGAGCTTGGGCAGGCTTGAAACCAGCTTGTTCAATGAGAAGTTTTGCTTGAGCGACCATTTCTTGTCTGACATCTAATGGCGTTTCCCGATAATGGAAAGTTAAAAGAGCCCCTTTATTTTCCACCCATGCACCTTCCTTGCAAACCTGGAAGAGGTTGAAAAAATCAATGAGAAGATTTTTTGGGAATAAGAAAATAATACAAAGATAGGATCTTAAAATAATTTTTGACGAACTGGGAAGTTGATGTTGGTTGTCCTCGTTAGATCTCCATCCTGACACGAGTAGAGATTATGAAAAAACATGGCAATTACGATAAAAGATTTCTAAATTTGGATATCAATATGCTCGTGTAAGTTGTGTCAAAATTTAATCTCTAAAGAAGAAACTGAGAAAAATCGCCTCGATGGTACAGTCAAGAGAGGAAAAAGGTAAGTTAATCAAATGGGTAGAAAGACTATACCTGCTCCTGAAGAACCTTAAGCAGGTCGCTGACCTTGTCTTCAAATTCAACAGGCATAGGATGTACGAATCTGCTTCCGTCTGGATGAAGGATTTCTAGACCATGATTACCAGCATATGTCAAACCTTCGATACCAACCTGTAAAAGATAAGAATTTAAGTTTAGTGTACGGAAAAACTAGTCATGTATTGGTGTCAATCTACTCCAGCTGGCCTTGGAAATTACTATTAAGTAGACTCTTTTCTCATTTATGAAAGATAGCAAGTTTTCAGAAACAGTGGCAAGATTGAGACATTATAGTCCCTCTTCTTCTTGACAAATTTTAGAGAATCTAATGATCTTTGCTGGTTTTTTTCGAGTCCTTAAGAAAAGGAGGGGTATTGTTGATATATTCCTCATAAATAACATGTATTCTATGTTCATCAATTTTACTTGACTGTTCACTGTTTTTGATTATTTTCTTGGGCTTCATAGAACTGCCATGACCCTTCATTTAAACGCTCGTCCCTTGCACAAACTGGGGCTCTCAGAGTGGCACTAATTCTTAAATTTCTCTGCCATATTAGCATGAAATTCCTTGAAAATCTCAGAATTTGATCTATAATTGATCTATAATTGATCTATAATTTGTCCTGAACATATCAGTTAACTTTTAGGTTTACTAAATGTGTTATTTTAGTAAATATTAATATTAAAACAATTATTTGATGGAGATAAATTCAATAATAATTGAATTATTTATAATGTGGGCTTCAGGAAAGTTGCCATAAAAATTAGCGTAATGGGCCTTCAAGGTTACCTGGTCCCTGGTCCGTGCCAGGATCAGCCATTGAAATTCTCTATCCGCACTAACTTAACTACTTTAATCGCTAAGACTATAGCCACCAGAGATTGCTTGAGTGTCCTAAACTGCGTTTAAAACTGAGTGCTTACCATTGCTTTGACATTATTGACATTCCGTCCAGAGATTATTGAAATATATACTTCAGGCATATTGGAAAGCCTTTCAAGAACATGTTTGGTTTCTGGAGGTAAAATGGCAAGATCTGGATGAGGAGCAATAGGGGCCAGGGTACCATCATAATCCAACATAAGCGCCAATTTGTCGGTGTTTCCTATGTATCTGAAACATGAATACAAACAATTATCAGACTTGCTGAAAAATGTAGCTCCGTCTCTTACTAGGCAATAAGAAAACAACACATAATTCAGTATCACATGATTAATTAAAATTGGAGACTCTGATTAATAAAATTATGTTGTTATTAGTTATTAATAAAATTATGTTGTTATTAGTTTTTAACATCATTAATTCATTGAGAATCAGTACAAAAACCAATGACTAAATAGTATGAGAGTGAAAAAGCCTTCCGACAGTTATCGTTGTTTCAAATCTTCCATTAATCCTTTTTTCAGGGTAAGACTTACTTGGAAAGGTATTCATCGAAGTCTTCCAGAGTCACAGGCTGCATTGTTGTTGGAAGAACATCATCGCCATCTTCAGAGATGAGAGTTCCCATTCCTTTTAAAAAGGACCTCATCCAATAATCGACATCATGCACTTTTTCCCTCTTACGCAAGGAGTTCATACGCAAAGTTCTTTCATCTTCCGGCATCGTTAAAGCTCTAGACAAAACAATTAACAACTATCAGTGGGAGCAAGAATCCAGGTATAACTACACATCGCAGGCAAATAGTCAAATCAGGTATTTTATCAAATGCCTTGGCAGATAGTCAAATTTTGATGGTATACCAAGTCTTGTAAGTTTTGGGCTGAGAGCTCTAGAGTTTCCAATGTTTTTAATGTAAGAATTCATCAAACTACGGACTTCTCCCGTATTTTACTCTCCAAATGCTCCTCATCTATTTTATACGTCAATGTTTTTAAAATTCTGTATTTTATGAAAATTCCGAGGTAAACACTTGTTTGAGGACTAGATCAATTTGACAAGGTCAAGGACAATTTGATCTAGTCCTCAAACAAGTGTTTACCTCCGAATTTTCAGCATGTCATAAAATACAGAATTTTAAAAACATTGACGTTTAAAATAGATGAGGAGCATTTGGAGAGTAAAATACGGGAGAAGTCCGTAGTTTGATGAATTCTTACATTAAAAACATTGGAAACTTATAATTTATTTACAATTTTATGATGCCAACTTTTACCGAAACTTCTTTTCTGGATGAGCAAATAATAATTTTGTCAAAAATTAGCAAAAGAATCACAATTTTAGTGTAAATAAGAACATTTGGCTATTTGTTTAGGTACCAAATGCCTGATTCGGCTACTTGCCTACAACATATATATATATAGGAAATTGTTGGAGGTTTCATGATACTACTCGTTTCAGGAATTCTACCGGACCAATTTTGACGATGCTCTAATCTGGAAACAGCTCTTGAGATCCCAATACTTTTAAAATTGTCAAACTTTGTCAACGGGCATCTATCTTATCTTCCTGGCAGACAAGCGGCGAGGAAAAAGAAGCTCTCTCTCCTTGATCACCAACCTTTTGACTCGATAATACTTGTAAAAACGCTGAAAAATTTACCAGGATGTCTCGTTATTTTTTCATTCTGAGAAATCCTGATGAAATCCTGATTTTTGACTGCTAAATCCTGATATAATAATTTTTCAAAATCCTGATCAAATCCTGATTTTTGCGGAGAAAAATTAAAAGTTCTGAATAAGCGTATGCAAAAGCATAACTCTAGAATTGTGAGAAAACAACTTTTTTCAAATCCTGATTTTATGACCGATTTTTCCTCAAATCCTGATTTTATGACCAATTTTTCCTCAAATCCTGATGAAATCAGCATTAAATTCTGGTTGACCTCAAATCCTGATAGAATCGGGAAAATCCTGATGCTAGACACCCTGTTTACTTTACAGCCATACTTTTCTTAAAACTACCACATGAAAGTTTGATTTTTTAAGTTCATTGTGTTCAGAGAGGCATGAAGAGCATCATTCAAATTACGACAAAAAGCTGGCACAGAATCTCTCCAATGCCATGCAAGGTTCTTTCTGGAATGTGCAAAAATATTCCACACCTAATTAACCGAGCCAATCAAGTATTTCTTTGGGGGAGTAAAATCTCACCTGTGTATGACCTCGGCTGCTTCATTGATCTCATATGGATTACAAATGAGAGCTTCATGCATCATCTCTCCGGCACCAGCAAAGGGGGATACAATCAAAACTCCAGGTGGTGTGTTGATTTGGCAAGCAACGAACTCTTTTGCTACTAAATTCATACCTGAAAATAAAAAAAAATGGTGAATTTCGAAGAGAGATCTTGTGAAACGAAAAATTTAACCAACTTTTCCTCTGAGATGGAGCAAGATTGCTGCTAAAGAAACGAACGAGACATTTCTGGGTGCACTCATGGCAGGCGTTGATGCAACTGAAAACATTCACGGAAAACTATAAACTCAGTCAGATACAAGTCAAAGAAATACAATTTTTAAAAATGTTAAGCATACACACTTGCAAAATGGTTTTTATAGGATGCGTTTTGGAACATGATAGGCTCCTAGACTAGTTTCAAAATCAATTTTAAGAGCTAAAGAATACCTACGCTTATAAATAAATATTTTATGAACACATTTACTCAGTAAGTGATGCTCAATCTAATCCCAAAGTTTCAAGCACTCTAAAAAATGTTGGGAGAATGTGACGGAAGGTCACAATGCAAAATTGACACATTTTCGAAAATTATTTATTTAAGAGCTGAGAATTAGAGCAAACTGTAATTTACAAGGGAATTTTCAGCATGTGGAAGAATTCAGAAAATGTATTGTATGATAGGATTTTGTCAAAATAAACTTGAGTAATAGCTTCCAAAACACTGGAACATGGAAAGATACCCTTTTCCAAACACACGGTTGTTGAAACTAAGTGTTTTTCTCGAGCTTTCTTCGTTTCTGCCCTTAAAACTTTCAACCAAAATATTTCCCTCGTATGTTGCAAAGAGAGTCAAGGACAGCATATAACTTTTTCATGATGATAAAAATGGGTTCTTCTAGGGAACAGCGCAGGTACATATAGTGTAGGGAATGTTTGGCTGGCGTTCTGACATTCTGGAGGCTACCTATTTTTCAAATTAAACTTGAAAAAATCATATCATGTAATTTATTTTCTGAAGGCTCTTGACACAATAGAGATGTTCATTCAATTCACGATTACGCTATGATTCTTAGTTCTCAGATAAATGATTTTCAAAAATTTTGTCAATTTGGCACTTGCAGCTCCTTAAAAGTTTTTGGGGAGCTTGGCACTTGAGGAATAGATAGGTATGTCAGACTCATAAGGCCGACACTTAGCCTCTATGGACACATGCCATTGGGCACCAAATCAATGCATGTCACTACGTTGTAAGAAGTGACGGGTTATCCTGCAACTTTTGGCTAAAAAATTTGTGAACCTAAGTTTTTCAGTTTTTGAGTAATCCTCTGTATGTTGGCTGTCATTTTTCTACATGTTTTCCTGAAATGGCAAGAAGAAATGGAACAAATTCACACAAGTAAGGCATAGAGAGAATTTCAATTACCGTCTCTCAAAGGAGTGACCAAGGCTACTGCCGCTTCCCTGTAAAAAGCTGCCAATTCATCCTGCGACACACATCCGTAAATGTATTTTATGGGAGACCAATTAGGTGTGGTGAATCGACCATTGATTCTGCCAACGAGTTGGTCCATTTCTTCCTTCAGGTCCTGATATTCTTTGACATCTGTTCGTGATGGAACAGCAATCTGCATCAGTACCACCTGCAATGAAAGATTTCCATTCGAGAATTAGGTACATGGTCTGGAAAATACAACAAAATAAAAGAAGAGGAAGTAAGAAGTAAGCACACAAGTAAGCACACAGATAAGCCCCTCACAAAAATATACAAATGTGGCATAAGCTAGAAATATAGAAAATTCCCGCTCTCACTATCCACATATCGCTTTGAGAAAAAGAGAAATTTTGGGCCATGAGGTAATTTTTAAAAGTGATAACCTTCCTTATTTTTCCCCTTTTTTTATTCAGCTCACATGGGCTCATTTGTTCATTGGGGTAAACCACACATTTTGCTGTATAATCTGATATTTTGCCATAAAATCTGGCATTTCCCATGAGGGCAATGAGACATTTAGTTCGGAAGCAAAAATGCTAACTGCAAGAATCAGTCAATGTCTTGGAACTTTTTATGCCCTAGACAAAAACTATGGTCCCAAAGTAGAGTGAAGGATGGAGTCAAGTGAACAGCAGGCTGACTATTGAAATTCATAGACAAAGCTATAGACTAAGAAGACAAAATGGATGTGGAGGCAATTTTTTGGTGGAAGCCGGTGATTGCAATGGACAAAGGAGGTAGGTAATAGACTAACTAACGGCAACCCATGAGAGACCCTATTGTAAATCCATAATTTTCTCTCTTACTCTATAGGAATCAACCATTTCAACCAATAGGATTATTTCATACTTTCTATGTCTTCTTTGTCTATCGCTTTGTCAGTCAATTTCAATAATCAGCCTGCAGGCCAGTCTATTGTTTCAGATGTGATCAACTTCTCCAAGTTCAGGTTCTTTGAATGAGCAGATGTACCTGCCTTTCACCCCATTGACAATACTCGAAGCCTTTCACTGACTCTGCCTCTCATTTGTCACTTTTCAGAGCGAGGCCTTAAATCACTCTTCTAGACCAAGTCCACTGAATGATTAGAAAAATCTTGAAGAGATCATAACAAAAGTAATAGCAAAAGGAGCATTCTTATGATTACCTTTTCTCTATGTTCCGGATGTTTTTCTAAGAGAACTTCAAAAGATTTGAGGCGGTGGACCAATCCTTTGGTATAATCCAATCTGTCGACACCTAGCACAGTTTTTTGATCTTTGTTTGTGATTACCGGTGGTGCTGCCTTAGCCAACTCGACGAATCTTTCGTAGGGTATACCAATGGGTAACGGTCGAACTCTGACTGTGCGACCTCCATGCTCCACAAGAAGACCTTTCCTGTCGACACGGCACCCTAATCTTCGCTGGCAGCAATCAACGAAGTTCAGACAATAGTCCTCAATATGGAAGCCTACCATATCACATCCTGGAGGACAAATTAAAATTTATTGACATGTAGAGTTGATACGACTTGTTACAGTGAAGCAGCCTCTGAAACTAAGTAAACTCAACGTGAGGCTAGTATTTAAAAGACATAATGATTCAATCTGAATTATTTCTTCACTTCCCTACAGTCAATGTGATCAATCATCTGAAGGAATTGCCTAAATAAAGGGATTTGGATTTCAAAAAAATCTTGCATAGAGGGGCTTACTCAGATATTAAAAGCTGATGAGTCAGAGCCTTTTTCACGTGATTGTTTGAAGACTCTAAGAGAGGAGGACAGAAAGAGGGCGAAGAGAGGGGACATGGGGAGGAGAAAGTCTCCAAACATCAGAGTCCGAAAGGTCATAGAACACTAAAATGAGGGTATTTGAAAGCTGTTGCTGCGACTAGAAAAGTTCATCAATTGAAATTGAGATTGTATTCATAGAACAGTAGCCTACTTTATTAGCTTTTGAGCTATAGTATTTTTTTCTCAAAGCGAATGTTTTTATTATACTTGAAAAAATATGGAGATCTTACTTTTGAAACAAATCTTATAAATAAAAAGTACATACAAATTCAATAATGTACAGATATATTCAGTGCTACCATAGCTTAAACCAAAGAGGACATGGTTTATACACAGAGAGATGGAAAAAGATTAAGGTCTCATGAAATTAAGATTTAAGGGGCTTAGAGGACACCTTGTCCTCTACACAAGCACACAAGTGCAGTTTTTGAACAAATTGAGATATTCATGAATTCAACTGAAATTAGTTGGAAAGTACATCCTGTGAAAAATTCTTGGCTAAAATTCAACTTTAAAGCATCAAAAAATGAGTTTAAACTTCCTTTCTGCTATGAGGCTAAATGTAATTTTGAAATTTTAAACACATATTTCTTGAAATAGCAAAAAACTGCATTTATGCGCCTTGTCCTCCAAGCCCCTCATTTTAAAAAGAAAAATGTTTTTACCCAGCATTCCTTGTAGCACTTCATCTGCCCATGGGAAAAGACGAAATATATCCCACGGAGGAAAAGGTATATGTAAGAAAAATCCAAGCTTACATTTTAATCCTAGGTCATCTGCAGACTGAAACAAAAATCAGCATTTTTAGTGGGACGAACACTTTTAAAGATCATATGAGAGGTTTGGTGTGCAGATCTGGATTTAAAGTAGGTTCTCATACTGCCGTGCTAAGGAAAAATGCTGTATGAGCCTTCAGGTGTTGCCAAATTTCTTTTGACAAATCACTAATTTTCAAAAAAATTCGTGAATATTTTTCTTTCAATTTCTCAGGTAATTTTCCTTCCAATTCGATCTAAAAAGTCTGAAAATTTCTAGGAAAAATATCGACAATTTTCCACAAAAATAAACATTTTATCGGAGAAAATTTGGCAACTCTCGAATGTTTATACGGCGTTCTTTCTTAGAAGGGCAGCATACTCGGTAGCTACAGATTAATTACGCATAAGGAGAATGCAAATTTCTGTCAATTCAGATGAAGGAATCCTGTTTTTCAGCTCGCAAGTTTTCTTAATTAGATAAAAGTACAAAATTTGAATGTATGTAAAAGTTCAGCTGAGTAGGGGAATTTGTGTTCTAAGAGTTTCTACTGAATACTCTTTCTACTGATGAAATAATGGGTCAGTGGCACTCATTTGATTAATACATTTTCTAAAAGTGTGGAATATACTGGGCTTCTAGGATTTTTCCAGATTTTTTTAAACTTTAAATGGCAAAAAACTTCGTCTTGAAAATGCCAAAAATGGGAATGGTTTGAATTTTTGACGTAGCCAGGTGGGGAATCTGTCTTTGCTGAAATTTACAGAGAATGCATTTCAAGCTTGATAAAAGTTAAACTCACATTGCGAATTGTGTTGGCTGCCAGCATGAGATGGTAATCATGTAACCAGACTAAAGGAGTCCCAGCATTTTCTTCTTCAGTCTCTATCAGCCTTCTTAAAGCATTTACTGTTTTCTCTGCAAATTCTAAATTTACTGCCTGATACGCCTGCAAACAAAGAAACAAAATTAAACAATGAGAACATATTTCAGCACACATTTATCATTAACACAAGAGAGAGACACTAAAAATATGGCCCAAACTGTTAGTAACGACATGGTAGAATAATGCTGGGTTTTCACCATTCTATGGGAAAATCAAGGCCAAAAGGTTTCAACTGGAGTCGAGAATTTGAACTGTAATTATTAATATCAGTCTACAGTTGAAATTTTTGGAATTTTTTTTACCTAGATTTCCCTGTCGACTGGTCAAAACCTGACAATATTCTACCACCTTGTTATTTATTTATAATTAAGATTATATATCTTGCATTACATACGTCTTGTATACAAAACTGGAGTCCTAATCCACAAGGATGGAACATAGCCCACTGAAAATATCGAGGCAGCCTTTAACCTCCCTCCAAAAGTTGATTCTAAAGCAATTTAGAATCCTCCAAAAATTTTCTCGAGTAACATGTGTGCAGAAGAGATGTGGGTTACACTGGAGAATCCAAACATGCATTAAGCCCCTAGAGCTGCTGTTTCAACAAATGCACTTGGAGTGACCTTTACAACTGCTTCATGAATGTATATGTGTGATAGAAAAGAATACTTACTTTCCAATTATCCGCACTGAAAATAGTTCTATCCGGCATTGAGTGGAATAGAGGCCAAAATGTGCCATTACAACAACCATTGTAATAGGCATCAAAAATAGCAGGCTCTACGTGCACAGCCACCACCTGGAATTATAAATTTAAAAGATTTTTGAAAAGAAGATACAGACAAACATGTATACCCTCTTGTAAATTAGGCCATTTTCGTATTTTAAGCCACAGAATTTTAAGAAATTTCAGACTTCCAAGAAATTTGATATACTTGTCGAATTTGTCAGTTTTAAATCCATTAACTGATTCTGCATGGGAAAATGAATTATGATTTCAGCTTAGAGTCTAAATTTAACACAGCATCGAACATATTGTTCCACGTACCTACTTTCTTTATCCAGTTTATTTCAAAATTTGATCTAAAAATAAATGTTGGAATAAGAATAATTTGCATAAAAAAACGAGAGACTGCTTATTCCCGGTTGAAATCGCCTGATTTCTTAGCCGCAATCCAAAAGGAGAGAGAGCAAAAAAGCTTTTTTGCTTCATTCAAATGCCTCATTTTCTATGAGCAAAACCTAGACTTATATTATCTACTTTCATTATTTTGGTTGTGCTCCGGCTACTGATACTACCCATAGAAATGAATCAGAACAATGAATAAGTTCCTTACTTTTTCTGATAAAAGACCAGCTGTAGGTGTTTGATCTGCTGGATCCGATTCTGGAATGGGTTCACTTAAGTTTACAAGGTGAATTCCTGGCCATCCAACCCACAGTCCTTTACCGCGTACGACCACAGGTGCAACAGCTGTGACTAAACCACCAGCACTGAAACAAAGAATATAATATTGCAATGAATTGAAGACAATCAAGAAAAATATCTGCTTATACCAAACAAGGCATATTTGCTTGGTTTTTTGCTCTGCAGGAACACAGGGTGCATGAAAAGAAAGAAATATCCGGCAGATTGGAGTATTTTATACAATTTTAATGAGGCTGTAAAATTTTTTTAAAATATAACACGAAACGATATCTGAAACTGGGTGTTCAACCTGCACTCAAAAACACCGGACAATGCCAAAAAAAAAAAAAAAAAAAAAAAAAAAGGTTTAATGCATTTACCTAATTCTTTATTTTTCCATTTTTATCTTGCATGAGAAGTATGAATTGTGAGGGAGTAAAATGATAACTCCAAATAATATTGGAGAATTTCAATGACTATACAGCATGGGACCGCTAAAATCGTTGGCCAGAGTGCGAAACCACGTATGTCTTCATTGCGCTGTTGCAAAATGTCCGTTACTTTTTGATTATTTCGAAAAGAAACTTACGTCGAATTCACAGCTTCAAATTTACACAGAGTATTCTGCTAACAGCGGAGAAAACTCAAGGAAGTTTACAAGAAATAACATTGACTAGTTCTCTGAAGAAAAAATGAGGGGATTGGAAGACAAGGCGCAGAGGTGCAGTTTTCGCTATTTCGAGAAATACGTGTTTGAAATTTCGAAATTACATGGATCCTTATGGCGGAAAGAAAGTTCAAACTGATTTTTTGAGGCTTAAAAGTTGGAATTCGGGGGCAAATTTTTCTCGGAACATGCATTAAGACGAGTTTTACTTGAAATCAGTAATATCTCAATTTTTTCAAAAACTGCACTTGTGCGCTTTTTCCTTCAAGCCCCTCAAATGAAGTATGACAGGAAAGGAAGTCTGCTACGTCACAAACGGAGATGCGTAATTATAATTATATTACGACTCTAGTGAGAAGTAATACCAACGACCTCTTAAAATCCGATTTTTCGACGAAAATTACCTACTGAAAATATTACGCCCCTCTTCTCCCGTAGGCAGAAACGAAGAGATCGCGGAAATCCATTGTGGCGCTTTCACGCTTGTGCAACTTTTGACCAGGTCACAGGAAGCCAAAATGAGCATGCCTTTGGAGTCCTAATTGAACGTATTTATGCTAAAAGGAACTATGTGCATAGGGTGAGCATGAGACATCTCCCAGGGCTGGATTTGGAGGGTGGCCACATGGGCCGCGGCCCATGGCGGCAAATTCAGGGGGCGGTAAATTTTGTGATTTTTTTTTAATGTAGGGGTAAAAAAATCGGATTCAGAAAAAAAAATAACAAACGAGAAAAGGCGACAAAGTCTCGTATTTCTTGAGAGCAGGCTCGGACTGGCGTGAAAAAAGTTAGGCCGCGGCGACGTATCGTGACGGCCCCCGGGGGGGGGGGGGGGGGGNAGTAAGGAGAGGAGGTCCGGGGGGCGGCCGCCCCCCGGAAAATTTTTGGATCCTTTATATCCCGAGAATGCAATTTTATCCTCCCGGACGCTTGTAAAATTGTCAACTATTAGAGATTTGGATTGATACAATATTCGACCTAAAACGTAATTTTGAGAGCACGTAAGTTTTATTTTACGTCAAAAAATTTCACTTAATTAACTCGTAACAGTGGATACGCCCAACTCGGGGGCCCCAGTCGTCGAAAACTAATTAACCCTTAGATTACAGAGTCTTAAAATTAATAAAAACAATTCTGGGGCCCTCAGCCTCGGGAGCCCCGAGGACGACGGCAAAGAAAGAGAATTAAAAAAAAATTGTGGGGCCCTTTTCCTCGGGGGCCCCGGGAAAGAGGGCCCCAGAATTGTTTTTATTAATATTAAGACTCTGTAATCTAAGAGTTAATTATTAGTTTTCGACGACTGGGGCCCTCGAGTCGGGCGCCTCCACTGTTACGTGTTATTTCAGTGAAAATTTTTGACGTACCTAAAATAAAACTTAAGTGCTCTAAAAATTACGTTTTAGGTCGAATATTATATCGTCCTCGGGGGCCCCGGGGGCCTCCGAGGACGAGGGCCCCGGCTGCGATCGTGGCCTAGCGGCTCTGGCCAGTCCGAGCCTGTGCCTAGCCGCAAATAATGTATAGAGATAATAGAGGATTTCCGACCAAGGTCAAAGGGACAAGCCGTAAGGCGCCCTTACTTCAACTTCAACTCATCGCAACCATTCTAAGCTCCTTCATATCGTTGAGTATGCAATTTGATCTCCTCGGAGTTATCATGGTTGCTCCAAGTCCAAGTGAACCTCCACGGCCACCGACCTTTTCGGGCAAGGAGAAACAATTGGACGTATTTCTGTCAAACGGAGCTATGTGCATTTAGGCATGAGCTTTGAGACCCATGAGAATGTATGCATAGCAGGGCTCACGTTATAATGCACATAGTTCAGTTTCGCATAAATACGTCCAATTGTCCGTCTTGAAATTCATGAGGAACTCTTGGTTTTATCATCTCACGATTACAATACGAACAAATTCAGATGTCATCTATCACACTTCACTGGCCAGTGATGTGATTTCGGGTCGTCGGGGGCTTTTCAGTTTGTTCGCAATTTGACCGTGTACGAGGGTCTTACAAGTATTCCCCCACAATGCATTGCTGCAGTGGAGGTGGAGGTGGGCCTGTTGCAAACTTTTGCTAGAGCAAAACTAAGAGTTGTTTCCTACAGATAATGCCTCAAAAATCACGATGAGCGCATCGGCAAAGTCTGAAATGCACTCATAACTTCACAATCTGCGTAAGAAATTTGCGGTTTTTTGAGCTTCCCGCTTCGAAAACGATACTACGGTACAGGTGAACATTTTGTTAGAGGAGTCGTTCCATTGGCGACAATACTCATCATGGCCGACGCCAGTCCGCTAAAACACGTGTGATGGGACGAGATAACACCTGAACAGGATTAAACCATATAACAATCGGCGTGTTTACGTTCATATTTTCCTCGCCCGCCTTAATTGACCTTGAACTCTCCTCGAATTACGCGAGGAACTGCGCAAGCGTCGGCCATGATGAATATTGCCGACGATGGAGCGACTCCTCTAACAAAATGTTCACCTGTGCAGTAGTATCGTTTTTGAAGCGGGAAGCTCAAAATAACGCAAATTTCTTACGCAGATTGTGAAGTTATGAGTGCATTTCAGACTTTGCCGATGCGCTCATCGTGATTTTTGAGGCATTATCTATAGGAAACAACTCTTCATTCTGCTCTAGCAAAAGTTTGCAACAGGCCCATTCCTTCAAATATGCTGATCAAAATATGCTGTGGTCACATTAACAATATTTCGGTCGATGTCTCAAGGTCACGCGGTGGATTAACCGACATTGACGTCACATTATACACCATTTCCGTCAATTTTTGGTGGCCCACGCTAGAGTCCCTTTATACCCAGAGTTAAGACAACTCGATTATCAGCTGACTGGCAGCCGGCCTTGGCTGGCCATGGAGGCCGAAACGAGTGCACCCAAACGAACGATATTGAGGGATAAGGATCAGGAATCCTGCGATGTCTGTCACACAAAAACAACAACATCAACAAATTGATCAATTAAAAAGAAAATGAGATTGGTTTGTGAATAATTTCTTAATCTATTTTCATTTTAGACCGATGGAAATAACAATTTACTCTTGATGAACCACAATTAGGTAATATTTTCATTATTCTTGTTCACATTCGAGGTACCGCCATCTTGGTGCACTCGTTTCGGCCTCCATGAGCGAGAACCAATCAAAATTGGATTTTTTTTTGGGCCACTTTCAGCCCAACCAAAAGTGAGTTGTCTTAACTCTGGGTATAAAGGAACTCTAGCCCACGCTGAATTTGTATAATGACTACATGACCTTGAGATAATGAGGAAAATATTGATGGTGTGACCACGGACCCTGGAATTTAGAATAACGTCACCCAAAAAAACGATGCTGGGGTTGGTCAGTTCAAATGACAAACGTCTGATGACGTTTGAGTCGTCATGGAGCATGGATGGATTTACTAGTTTTTATTTCCTGCTTTTTCCGGAAACTAGGGATTTTTCCTTGACTAGGTTTGGTACTATGATGGATCTTCCCTTCGAATTTATAGGTTGGCAATGACTTAATTTTTCATGTGGGGAGGTTGGCAGCCCTTTCAAGCCCTACACGGCCTCCAAATAACGATTTTACTTATGAAAGTCTTCGAACCTAGGTGTACTCTGGTTTCACTTCAATGGATCAAGTAAAGGTTGGCAACAACTACAATTCGGTTTCGAATATTTCGTGGAGAAAAGTTGGCTGCCCTTTCAGGGTCTAAGACCTCCAAGAGCAAACTCAATCGTGATAGGCTCCCAACCTCGGTGCTTTATTTTCACTTCAAAGTTTTTTTTTCAACGCATTTGATTGGTTTACGGTGATAGCCAACGTGACGTCACAGCAGAAAATGCTCCCGGGCTTTGTTTGCACCACGCCGTACGTTATAAATATAGGCACCAGGGGGTGGATCGGGCAGTCCCTGGCCAGGACTCGTTGGTGAAGGTATTATGTGTTGCATGTGTGTTATATGTTTTATATGTGTTATATGTTATTTGTGTGTTATATGTTATTTGTGTGTTATATGTTATTTATGTGTTATATGTTTTTTATGTGTTATATGTTTTTTATGTGTTATATGTTTTTTATGTGTTATATGTTATTTATGTGTTATATGTTTTTAAGTGTTATATTTGTTATCTATGTGTTATATGTTTCTACTGATGCGTGTTGCGTATGTGTGTTGCGGGTTGCTTGTGTGTGTTGCGTGTTGCTTGTGTGTGTTGCGGGTTGCTTGTGTGAGTTGCGTGTTGCTTGTGTGTGTTGCGTGTTGCGTGTTGCTTGTGTGTGTTGCGGGTTGCTTGTGTGAGTTGCGTGTTGCTTGTGTGTGTTGCGTGTTGCTTGTGTGTGTTGCGTGTTGCTTGTGTGTGTTGCTTGTGTGTGTTGCGTGTTGCTTGTGTGTTTCATGTTCCTTGCGTGTTAC